CATTCCTCAGACGACATGTCCATCCTGGGCCTCCTGCAGTGCCACAACGATGCCACCCGAAGGTTGCAGGAACAGCAACTCATATTCCGCTTGGGAACCCTGCACCCCAATGGTATCGATGTGGATTTCACAAGCTTCAAAATCTCCCCTCCCTCTACCGCATCCCAAAACCAGTCCAGCTTGTCCCCGTTCCCCTCCCCCTTCCCCTCCCCCTTTTCTGATGAAGGGTCTAGGCCCGAAATGTCAGCCTTTCTGCTCCTATGATGCTCTTTGGCCTGCTGTGTTCATCCAGCCCTGCACCTTGTTGTCTCGGATTCTCCAGCATCTGCAGTTCCTACTACCTCTGACTTGTAAAACAATGCAGTTTTTCAGATTTTGTTTTATCTCGTTGTAAGGCCACTTTTATCTTGTTCTCACCTGTATAAATATTCCAGAACTTTCTTTAGCAATGTAACGGGATTGGTGGTGACCACTTAGTACTGGCTTAGTGAATGAATAGTCCAGATCATATTTTTCTCTCTCATTGCTCTTAGTTTTTGTTCCATCTTGAACTTTGTAAAGATTAGTTTCTGGTTATTAAATGTTAATTTACAGAAGGATATTTCCCTGGAAAGGAGATCATTCAGATGTAACAACTGGATAGATCAATGATCCTCCAGCCAAAATACTTTAACTGTTAACCTATTAACTAGGTGTCAAGGTATTTTGTAATTTTTCTTTAATGTATATATCTTTCAGCTGTTTGTTGCTGGGTTGATAGTCCTGTTGCTGGATGAGCTGCTGCAGAAGGGTTATGGTCTGGGATCTGGTATTTCCCTCTTCATTGCCACAAATATCTGCGAAACCATTGTCTGGAAAGCTTTTAGCCCGACCACCATCAATACTGGCAGGGGTAAGATGTGGCCTTGTACTTTACTGGTGAGCCCTATGTTAGAATATCTGATTTGTTATTTTTAAATTAATGTAGCTATCAATAGCTGAAGCCCTACAAAATGAGTTCCAGCACTCTTGCAACTCAAAACTCGTGACTCAAATCATCATTATGGCTTTGTCCAGGCACTGAATTTGAGGGTGCAGTGATCGCACTCTTCCATCTGCTGGCGACTCGACAAGACAAGGTTCGAGCTTTGCGGGAAGCTTTCTACCGACAGAATCTGCCCAATCTTATGAACCTCATTGCCACTATATTTGTGTTTGCTGTTGTTATCTACTTCCAGGTAAGGTTATGTCAGGAAGAAGGAGATGTTCTTTTTAAAATCCAACATTATAAAGTTCAAAAGAAGCCAAATGCATCTTGCCTGATTCAGATTAGGCTAAGCATTTGCTCAAATAAAAGTGTAACCCTGCAATGAAATCATCTTTGCAATGTCAAAAGTGTAATGCTGTTAGTGAATTTCAATGATTTATCCAGCTCTGCTCAGACTGTAAGTTGTGGTTTGGATTTTATAATTTCTCAATTGTGTTTACAAAGATTATCTAAACCATCCTGTGGATTATTGTCCAAATCTTTTAATTTTGCACCTCCCAGGTGGGGAGAATGACAAGGACTACAAGTGGGGACCTCAGCAAAGTCTCTATGAATTAGCCAGGTCCATTCTGATACACACAATTTAACTTAAACATTCATCCTGAGTTGTTGATGAGCAGCACTTTTGTGGATGAGTGACACGTTTATATTGCCTTTACCCCATGAGCAAGGTGGTGGAACAGGAAATCAAATAATTTTTTCGTAAAGTTTCTGTATTGGTCTCATGGTACGAACACTGCAATCAAAAGCTAATTGGGAATGTTCTATCCATGTTGTATTTAATGCTTAAGCACATACAAAATAGGAGCAGGACTGAGCCATTTGGCCTTTAAAATCTCCTCTAGCATTCAGCCAGATCATAGGTGATATTCCTCCAATATATACCCGTGCTATCCTCATATCCCTTGTATCTTTTAATATCCAGAAATTTATTGATATGTCTTGTGTATACTCGGTCATTGAGCTCCCACAGCCCAGATTTATTTATAAATACCAGAAAAACATGTTTCATAAGAAATGTTGATAAGAATAATGTCTCTTGATATGGTGATGATTTTAGTTATATGCACTTGGGTTAGTATTGAACAGCTTGTGACCTGCATGTTTTACTGGAAGTTATGTATTTTCAATGTTAAACCCATGCCTTTTGTTTTACACCTCATTGGTTTATTTTTATTTGTTACTATCTTTGCAATCTTTTCTCCAGGAGCATGATTGGCTGCCTATGTTCCTGGCAGTGTGCTTTTTTTGTGAGTAAGCAATCATTTGTTTGGTATAGAAGGTCATATTGATTGTGATAGATGTGAAGTATGTGTCCTAAATGATAGAGGGGTGTTGAGACATTTTTTATTTATTCAAATAGCGGTAAACAGCAGTAAATGTTTTATTTTACAGGGATTCCGCGTGGATCTGCCCATCAAGTCTGCTCGTTATCGTGGACAGTACAGCAGCTATCCAATTAAGCTGTTCTATACATCTAACATCCCCATCATACTTCAGTCTGCTCTTGTATCCAACTTGTACGTTATCTCGCAGATGCTATCTGTTCGATTCAGTGGCAACTTCTTAGTCAATCTGCTGGGCCAGTGGGCTGTAAGTATAAATCTGCACGTGTTTATTTTGCATGTTGCTGTGAAGTACAGGTGTGTTCATTGCTAGTGCAGCTACTTCTTAAAAATAAATTGATACATTTATTTTGAAAAGGGTATACTTAAAATAATTGGTCCTTTAAAGAAAACAATTACCCCCACACCCAAACACTTTACTTAAAAATGCTGTTCTTGTTACAAGATTAGTTTAACGTTATTGGTAGGATCACAAACAAAGCAAATTTGTATTTCTGTGAGACTTTTAACAGCCTCAGGGTATCAAAGTGCACTACTGCTTTAATCATTAGAAGTATCCTGAGTTAACGTTTTAACAAGATGATTCGTGGTCACTGTTTTGTAATCAGTGTGATTTAGTGATTTTTGTTTTCGCTCAAGTGTTTCCATTAACTCTGAAAATTCTGCTGCCGGATGGAAGTAACCAATCTCAATGCTGTACTTAATAAAAACTGAAAAATGTTGTCAGTGCTGTACTTACTAGTTACCCTAGCAATGACTGAATATTCAAAATAGCTTTTTGCCATCTCCACCCCACTTAAGTTGTAATTACTTAAAATTATGGATATCCCCCAGCTCCATCCCTTCTAGCTAACTTCAGCATTGGCTTACTTTTTTGGTATATTTTAACACTTGTACAACAATTCTTTTAACACTTGCTAGCCTCCTGTTTGTTGTCACATTAATTTACAAAAGTTAAACTTGTTGATTTTTTTTTAAAATAAAGATTATAAAGATTGTTTTCCTACCTGATTTGTGTTATGTGTCGTTGTAGTTTTAAAGCTCTTCACTTATTTGCTGGTCACTTCTAGGATGTAAGTGGAGGTGGGCCAGCTCGTTCATACCCTGTTGGTGGGCTCTGCTATTATCTGTCACCTCCAGAGTCTATTAGTGCTGTGTTTGATGATCCCATCCATGTCACTGTTTACATCATCTTCATGCTCGGATCATGTGCTTTCTTCTCCAAAACCTGGATCGATGTTTCTGGTTCTTCCGCTAAGGATGTAAGTAGTGTTAAGTCACAATTTGCCTGGCTTAGTTGGTTATGCTATGGGTCGGAAGGTTATGGGAATGAGCCTATTGTGGATCTTGATCACAGAATACAGGACAGCGCTCTGTACATTTTTGAGGGAGTGCTGCATTACCTGAACTGCATCCTTTGTACAAGATGCTAGGGAGAAGACTATCTGCTTGCTCAAATGCACATTCACAATTTGTAATGGAAAGGAATGCAATTCCGGAGAGAAGTGATTAAACAGGCTGCTTGCTTCCAAATAGATTCATATTGAAGTTAACAACTAAAATTGTATTGTTATTCCTCAATATTCCCAGTAGACTGTGTCAAGATCCTTCACATATTGAGTGCTCGTTTGAAATTGTTCACGTTCACTTTCACTTCCACAAGCCTTTGTCAGGACCTGGTAAATTTAGTGTTAGCTTTGAGTTATTTTAAGTGACTTTTAGCAAACGTAACAGAGTTGTACAGTACTAAATCTTAGACTTTGAAATAATGCAGAAATATTGAGTGTATTTTGTTGCTCTTGCTCTCTCTCGCTCCAGTTTGAATTATGTACACTGTCAGAAAGATGCTAGATAATTTCCTTCTACGCTAGTGAAGATGGTGGCTTGTGTCTCTGAAACAGCATAGTGAAGCCAGGATTGGGGTAAGAAGTTGGAAAGGTTAGAAGAGAACACCAGGCCTTATCTCCAAAGGAAATAGCTAGAGGACACTAACTCTGCCTGCTCTGAATTATCTCACCAAGTGTGAAAGCTGATGTTTCTAGCAATATGGTAAAAGGGGACCAAAACCCATTTTCAGAGAATGCTAATTATTTATTACAGTATTTTTTTTTATCAGGTTGCTAAACAGCTTAAAGAGCAGCAGATGGTAATGAGAGGCCACAGAGAAACCTCAATGGTCCATGAACTCAATAGGTCAGTGTTAACTTTTTGGATTGTGTTGCATCATTGTATATTCAAAATACTGTAGCCGTGATGGAAACCTTCTTAATTTGTGATGATTGTTAAATGGTGGAAGCTGAAATTTAAACTCTCGGGTTTAATGTCCTTTTACAATGAGGTAGACCCTACTGAACCTAAATCCATTTTTAACAGTGATTCCTATGTTGCAGTTTTCAGGAATGCAAAACTTTAAATGAGGACTTGCTGTATTTCAGATGTAATCCTATTACCCAGCACCAAAGAAGTGCGGCTTTTTAAGAAAATATATTGTGTAGAGCTCTGAGGACATGGAGGAAAATAAGGCCAGAAATATTTATTAGGAAAACTAATTGGATGACAATCCCCTTGTATTTTACATCGTAATAGTTGCACCCAAACATTAACATTTCTCTTAATGCTGTTTTGTTTTGGGAAGTCTAATTCTGCATACCAAAAATAATTGTTAATGAGTTTTATTCATGGTGTTAGACAAAATAATTCAATTCCTTGATAGACCATTGTCTATTTATTGTATTTATTCAATTTGAGATCAGAATTCTTTGAGAATGAAAGAAATGATTTTTTTTGTGAGCTATTCTAAGCTACACAAAATCAGTATTTGAGACAGCATCTGTGGAAGGAGAAACAGCATTAATGTTTCAGGTTTGCAACTGTTCATCCAAACCATCAAATTTGACTCTTTTGTCTCTCTCCACAGAAACTACCTTACCTCAGTATTTCCAGCATTTTCAGTTTTTAATTTCAGAAACCCAACCTCCTGCTCTATTTTGATTCTTTCAAAGCAGAATGGTTTACTTCTGATTTAAAATGTTGTTTAGATATATTGTAATTAAACAGTTACACTTATATGGTGATGTTCACAACTTCAAGACACCCTAAAGTGCTTTACAGCTAACAAAATACTTCTGAAGTGTGGTCTTTTTAATTTTAAATATATTAATAATTCCATATGTACCAGTGAATCATTTAATTCTTGATTATCGGGCAAGATCTTGTCTTAAAACGTACAGCTGCTGTTGTGTTCAAGTTTTTAATGAGTGTTCTAATCTCCCCCAAGGTATATTCCTACTGCAGCTGCTTTTGGTGGGCTTTGTATCGGAGCACTTTCAGTCCTAGCGGATTTTCTAGGAGCCATTGGATCTGGAACAGGAATCCTGCTTGCTGTTACTATTATCTATCAATACTTTGAAATCTTTGTGAAAGAACAAGCTGAAGTTGGAGGCATGGGTGCATTATTCTTTTAAATTGCCAAACCTTGAAGAATTTATTTATTTATGGAAAAGGGAGTTTTTTCATGTTATACACCTGTCTTCTGTCTGAAGTTTTGTTTTTGCTTATCCACTTAAAAACTCTTTTCTCCCCACCTGTCTTTGTACAGCATACTCAGTTAGCATCATCAGTGCTAAGAAGCAGTGTTTTCTGATGCAGTATTACTGTCACAATATCTGCAGTAGATGTATTCAGTAAGCATGCTTGTTCCACTTTTTTTTGTCTTCTCACAAACAGAAGAAACTTGGGTGAGTTAAATTATGATTTTCAAGCTGCTGTATGAAATAACTTTGCTTTAAATGCGAAAGTGACTCTTCATTTTAGCTCATCATAATTTTTAAAATTCGATGTTACAATCCAGTGTTTTCTTTTCCTAATGTATACTTGGAGCAGCAAAAATGCCTCATGGCTTGTCTCGATTACAGGCTGATACTATTTATCCTGTATCTGCCAACCAATCTGTGCCAAATGTATTCATGTAAATTATTCATAGAGACAGTAGTCCATATGATTGTGGGTTTGTATGAAGATGTACACTACAGTTCATTATTTATTATGTACTGATAGAGATGAAAAGTTAACATTATTAAATAATAAATGTATTGATGTCTGAACAGGCAGAATGTACATTAAAAGTGTACTCTATGGGATATTGAGACCGTTATGGTAATCTCGTAAGTTGAAGCTTTTAATGATTTTAGCAAAGTTAGGGATGACACAATAGTTTGTTAGAAAAAATTTATTCAATCTGTTTCTGTGCTATACTATTTCTCAGTCATGACTTCAAATTTGAGCATTCATAAATCTTGCAATAGAATTATCAAACTTGCTTGCATTCTGCTTCCTATATTTGGTTGGGTCACAGTTCCAAGTGTCGATTTTATTTATTGCACATTTTTTACTTGAACTTCTCCAGTGAATGCTAGGTTTCCAACCACATAAGGTATTACATCCCAGGCTGATCTTCAGCACACTCTAACTTTGATTGCCTGAGGAATGTCTAAAAGGTAGCTGGATCCCCATCTCAAAATCTGTCCTATCACTGATTCACTTGAGGCTGTTTAGAACAGTTAACTAAGCACAACTTTAATGGACCTTAGATATTCTGATCTGTATAGTGCATAATCAGAGACTGGCATCCTTTATAGAAAATAGACTTAAGGAAGACCTAAAGTAATACTAAAATAAATCATATTTATGACACGTTTGCTGCCACAGTCTTGGACATTAGTTTGATTAAGCATGTGTTTAGTGAAAATGTAATTGGAGGTCTACAAAACCTCAACTCTTGATTTTGCACTTGTGGGAATCCCTAATGCTTTGATTTACCCTTTTGCAAGGTTATTTGCAAATCATGCAGCCTAACAAAAGGGTACATTTTTTTATGATCACATATAACATTCCTGTTTTCCTGTCTGAACAAAATCATTGCTAATAATCCCTGATCAGCAGTTATTTAATCTGCTATCACATTGAAACTGAAGAAATCATAAGACCTTAAATTGAACGTGTGGGAGATTCTTCAGTGAGATAACAGATCGCATCATTCAGCAGCAAAAAGATGCCGATAGTTAGATTGATCAGTAATGTTCTTTCAATTGACTGTACACACGTTGGTCTGGGGTGGTAAGGAATGACATAAACCATTACACGCTCTAAATTCTGTACTTTGGTTGAAGACGAGCCTTTCAGTGTCAAGATGGTGTGTCACATATCCTTGGTCAGTACCTCCCTGGAGAGATCCAACCACCTTGCTCCTCTGTGAAACTTAAGGGAGACATTCAGGGCCAATAAATGATCTCTTGATTAGTCTTATCCTTTTCCATACCTGTTCCTAGTCAAGTTTCTAGATACTACAATTAGACCATCTTGTGCTTAAGTTTATTTACTCCATCAGTATTAAATTAATTAACAGTCTTGACAATAATTGTTGCCTGATTGATTGATTCTGTTCATGTTGGAACTTCAGAATCTAGTTAGGCTTGTGTTGTCCAGAGAGAGCAGGTATTGTGCCAGAAAATAATCGTTAGTGTTAAAATTATCACTAGACTGATGATTGACCCATGTTTTAATATTAAGGATGTACAAATATATTTCTTTGTCCAAATGAAGACAAGACACAAAAAAATTCTGACAATATTTCAAAGAAAAAGACATGAGAAACCAAATCTTTCATGATGACAAATGTCATGAGATGCTGGGACAGTGTGAAGCTTGTAGATTAACAACGAACCTAAAGTACACTTTTTCCAACAGGTCTACAATTTACAGAAACATTCAGATCAATAGACTGCAATGCTGGAAATGTATGCTATGATCATAGAAGATCATAGAATCCCTACAGTGTGGAAACAGGCCATTTGGCCCAACAAGTCCACACTGCCCCTCCAAAGAGCATCCCACCCAGACCCATTCCCCCAATTTCCTATGTCTAACCCACCTAACCTACACATCCCTAGGCACTATGGGAAATTTAGCATAGCCAATCCACCTACCTTGCACATCTTTGGACTGTGGGAGGAAACCCACGCAGACAAGGGGAGAATGTGCAAACTCCACACAGACAGTCGCCCGAAGGTAGAATCAAACCCAGGTCCCTGGTGTCATGAGGCAGCAGTGTTAACCACAGATCCACTGTGCTGCCCCAAATTATTTTTTTTTAAATTATTAAATTACATTTCCACTATTATAACGAAGGCAGTGACATTCTCAAACAGCTAATGCCTTCATTAAAACACAGGACTTTTAACATTAGACAGCATCACAGAATTATATTCACGAGCTGTGATTTCAAACAATTGATTAATTCAATACTTGCAAATTTTTTTAAAAAAAAACCCTATTGCACCAAATGCCAACCTATTATATTGACTTTTGTATAAAAGGTCAAAGCACAATTGCATGCAACAGAATTTCATGATGTTCAGTAAGCTAAAGTCACATCCTGATTTTAAATAAAACATTAAATTTAGATCACTTGGGACTGAAAATGTGTTTGGCAGGATAAACATTTATTTTGTCCAATCCAAAAATTACTATAGTGCTACTGTTAATCTGAGCTCTTAAACAATTAAGTCTGAAACAGCACCCTGGATTTTATTAAATCAAATGCTTATGACAAAATGCGTTCTTTACTGAAACACTGACTATAAAAAGTAATGCATCCAACATGAAGGACAATCAGTTGCATGGTACAAAACAAAGTTGGCCAGACCCCTTGAGCATATAAAGCAATTCGAAAGGAATGTTCTCATTTAACAATCAGGAAGATTGATTGATTAATGAATGTATTGAAGTGCCACACCTCAAAAGTGGTGCAATTAACCATTTGTTAGGATTACTATACTATGTACAGTAGTTAGAAAGATTTTGACAGTGCACTTGTTTAATGGAAAGTTGTGTGGTTCATCATGCCACCTGAAAAACTTGTAATAGTTGCCTACGTGGTGAGGCCTAAAATCCTAACTTCCCAGTTACATAACAACCAGCTGACAGGAATGGGAAGGGAAATAAAAGTATGGGTAGGGAGATCAGCCAAGTACCAAAGGAGTTGGGATGAGATAGATTACGTAATCTATCAGAGCTTTGAGATTGGCAGCATGATATACTTGAGAAGACAACTTCCACACTAATTTATAAATGGAGACCTAGAGGGGTAGGGTTGATAATTTTGAGGCAACCACAGTCCCTCAACCTCTATTCCCAGCTAATCCTCAAGCCAATACCCAACAAGTTAAATGGCTCTCACTGCATAATGATGGGAATTCTAAACACATACCAGTGAGAAAATAGAATGCATTCTGTACTGGGGAAATAGAATGGATGTCTGAGTACCTAGATATGGAGATTCCTAAGTGTAGCGATGGGTTTCTGTTAATCAAAACTAATTATACTTAAGGGTGATATAATTGCAGAGGCTCATCAAGGCAGCTGGTTTGAGTCTACTATATAATTTTTCAGATCGCATTCTACAATTCTGTCAAACCAAAACCTCACACTATAATACACAAAGGTGTCTCAACGATTTCTCTACCAACTCACCCTGATTTGTACTGGCTTTAGGCATCTGATCCACATTGGCAAAAATTTGAAAGATTGATCTTTTAAAAAAAATGTGCTATTTATTTGCGACCACTTATTCTTAAGGATTTTACAAGTTTTCAAGAAAAAGATGAAGTGATGCAGTTGTGAATAAGACAGTTCTGTAAATCTAGCTTCTTAAGTCTACTTAATTATATCAAAGTTATTACGTTCTGGATAAATGGTTCTTTGTTCCTTAGTACAACGGCAGAATACAAAACTTGAGATTAAATATATCCATGTGCTGTGCAACAACTGTAGATGAGGGGTTCTTTAAGACTTTCAGGCTTTCAAAACAGGCAACATGTTGGGCTTTGAAGAGGCATACATCAAACCCATCGCAAAGGCGTAAACTCGAGCGTCCACCACAATATTTTCTTTTTGGAGCATTTCTGGAAAATAAATCATGCACAATTCTGAGAGGTTTTGCTGTTCCAAAGAAATGAGAATGGCTAGCTGTTTATGACCATAATTCTATATTCCGTTTTCACTGACAACCCTCAATGCCTTGCTGCAAAACTCTGACTTTTCGTTATTTGTCATGGAATATGGCAGTGCTTTTCAACCACTGTGCACTAGTGGGCTGTAAAGTTTATACAAAGGTAGTGAAAACCAATGTAAAACAAATATTGTTTTTATCTTAAACAATATTCTGTCCAAGCAAAATTACACATAAAACCATGAAAATTAATCAAAACCGGGATACTGGTTTTTTGATTCTAAAATGAACATTTTAAACTCATGACCAAAGGGAAAAATTAAGATGACATGAAAAATGTAAGTGTGCCATGGAATTGTCTTGTCTAATTGAAGTGTGCCGTGTTACTGAAAAGATTGGGAACCACTGGAAGATGGTGTTAGAGGCAAGGTGAATGGTGTGGTGAGCCACCATCTTGAACTGCTGCAGGCTGTGTTGGGTAGGTAGACCAACAGTGCTGTTAGAGAGGGAGGTTCATAATTTTTCACTTGATAACAATGAAAAAGCAGCAAATATATTTCCAAGCCAAGATCATGTATGACTCAAAGGGGCTTTTGCAGGTGTTGGCATTCCCATATATCTGCTTCCCTTATCTTTCCAAGGAGTACAGTAAGTCCAGAAGCATCGAAAACATTGTACTCAACCTTCCATTCACAAGCAGCAATCTTATATTTTTGTATGAAGGTGAGGCACTTTTTTTTTTTCAAAAAACTCTTCCGAACTCTAAACCACCTATGATAACATCCCCACCTGTCCCTAGTGTCCTGTTGAGAACATCTCAGTCAGCCCCACCCAGTTGCTGGGCAGAATTGAATGTTGCCACCTAACAATTATTGGGACTGAGTGCTCTGAACGTTACATTTCACAGAAACATTGGCTTGTTCAGTACAAATGGTATGGCTAAACAGGTAATTTGAGGGTTTGCTCACACACCTAATTACAAACTTCTTCCACAAGCCAATAAAAGATATTAAAAACTGCTAGTCACTGTCTGTGCATTGTTACAAACCAAAACCTGTAATCTTAAACATTTCAGGAAGAACAGAAAACCAATCTTACCATCAAGTTTCTTACGAAGTTCATTCATTGGAATTAAAACAACTTCAACAAACTCTGAGGAAATAAAAAGTATCAATCAGATGGTAATGCACTGTGTAACAATTCTATGTACAGTGACAAGTGAAGAATATTGCCATTTATTTGAACTGGAGGTGTTTTATATGGATGTTGCTAGCACTGGGAATTTTAGCCCTAGGGAAAAATTGGATAGGTAGGGAGTGTTTTCTCTGGAACAGGGAACACTGAAGGAGATTTAATTCGAGTGTATAAAATTATAAGGGCCTGGATAGACAGGACATGCAAAGGGCTCTTGTGGGTGCAGCAGTGCTGCCCTCACCTCTAGGCCAGGATATGTGGGCTCAATACAATACAGCACAGGAACTGGCCCTTTAACCCACAAAGCCTGCGCTGATTCCTGATCCTTATTTAGACCTGCTACTTATTGCCCATGCACAGTATCTATCCCTCTGTCTGCTTCACATTCATATGTCTATCAAGATAGGCCGTAAATGTTGCTAGTGCACCTCCTTCCACCACCACCTCCCGCTTCCTCAAGTTCTACCTGCTGCAAAGGGAGTGTCATAACATATCTGAACTGGTTGATTAGAAAATATCTAGACAGGACATGAAAGATACATTTCCCTTGGAAAAGGGGTCAATACAAAGGACGCAGGTTTAAAGGTAATTTACAGAGGAATAGTGAGAGGTTCAGGAGAATGATTTTCACTTGGGAGGTGGTGGTGCTCATAATTTGCTGTCTGAAAGAGTACTTGAAGCAGGAAACCTCATTACATTAAAAAAGAGATACTTGGATATGCATTTGAAGTGCCATAATCTACAGGGCTACGTATCAATATTGCCTTCCAGCTCTTAAGCACTTTTTCAGCTGGCAGAGACTTGACTGGCCAAATGGCCTCCTTTCGTCCAGTAAATGTTTAAGATTTTAAACTCTGCAAGAAAGAGATGGTCCAGAAGCATACTTTACCAAGCCAGGCCTCCAAGTTATTTAATTGTGAATGAAAATGTACCTCCATCATCTGAAAAGGTCAAAAAAAAGGACTACTTAATCCATGTGGAAACCACGGATTCCACAAACATTCAGTATGTCTGCACCAGAATCTAAACTGCAAAATAATTTTAAACAATACAGGACATATTATATAAAACAGAAAACCTAAAATGGTTCCAACACTATCTAGACTCGAGGTTTCAGTGTTCATGTACGGTATTGGTTTCATTTCCCACATTTATTTGTTTCCTCATTTGAAAAATGCAATCAATTGAACTAAACTGATGTTTTGAGAACTCTTTGTCACAGACAAGATTGTGGGTTCAAGCCCCATACCAGGAGCTATGGATATAACCTAGACTAACACATCACTGGATTATCAAAGGCGTAAAAGGGTAAAGTCGCCACAGTCCCATAGGACAGCTCTCTCATGAGACAGAGACAGATGAATGGTGGTTTGTTTGACCCAAGGATCACCATAAACTCAGGCAGAACCTTGATGGTGACCTCTGCCGGTACAGGAATTACCCTACATATTGGCAACCCGACATAGCAAACCAGCCGTCAAGCCAACTGAGCTGTATCCTGCCTTCTTGACCTCACCCCTCACCTGGGGCGTGGTGACCTTCACGTTAAACTCACCACCACTTGTCTGTCTCTCATCAGAAGGCAGTCCTCTGGCACTACGGCAACTTTGCCCTGTACCAAAGGAGTAATACAACAAACACTATATATAAGGCTGATCCACTTACCCAGCCTTTGTTTCGGATGGAGGTTTTCTGAATCGTCACCATTAATATTAACAGTTACATACTGCATCGTGCAGTTGGTTAATCCGGGATCCAGACATAAATCTGAAAGAAGTGAGGATTTTCAAGTTATATATGAGAAATTGCTCAAATTCAAGTGGAATTTTGCAACTTGCTACAGCTGTGCAAGTACTTTTACAGATGTAATTATGAATAACCTTTAAATTACTTATAATTGGTGCAGGTAATATAGTACACCTCTCACTATCCCAACACATTCTAAAACACATTGGGTCCATTAAACATGTCATATCCAGACATGGTTGAACCACGACCAATTTAAGGAATGATTTGGTAATCCCTCTGACTCTCTATGGCAACCAAGCTATATCAGGAGTTCGTAAGTGGTTCGGAACTCCTTCTAATCAGTTATGGGGAAGTGTGCTCAGATCTGCAATTCTAAGAATTTGCCAAGTTCTCTTTAAAAGGACTAATTTACTTCCTTGGCATTATAAGAAAATCTTTGACTGTATATGTAAAAGTAAACATAAATAAAATTTGGAAAGGATTTAACAAATGCTCACTTCCATCTTATTTTGTTTTATTCATTCATGGCATGTGGTCTTTGCTGGCTACACCATCATTTATTGCTTATTCCCATCTATCCAGAGACAGGAAAGAGTCAACCACATTGCTGTCGGTCTGGAGTTACATGTAGGCCAGACCAGGGAAGCACTGCAGATTTCCTTCCCTAAAGGGGATTAGTGAATCAGATTGGATTTTCCCACAATCAGCAAAGGTTTCATGGTCATAATGAGACTCTTCATTCCAAATTTTTACTGAACCAAAAAAAGTAGCTTAGAAGCCCCCAGAAACTATTATTCAGCTTTATAATGTACTGCATGGATTACATTTTAAAAATTTATTTTGCGGGGTGTGGGCGTCGCTGGCTGGGCCAGCATTTATTGCTCTGTTCCTAGTTGCCCCTTGAGAAGGTGGTGGTGAGCTGCCTTCCTGAACTGCTGCAGTCCTTCTGCTGTGGGTTGACCCACAATGCCATTAGGGAGGGAATTCAGGATTTTGGCCCAGAGCCAATGAAGGAATGGTTCGAATCCTGCCACAGCAGATGGTGGAATTTGAATTCAATAAATATCTGGAATTAAGAATCTAATGATGACCATGAATCCATTGCTGATTGTCAGAAAAACCCCATCTGGTTCACTAATGCCCTTTAGGGAAGGAAACTGCCTTCTTTACCTGGTCTGGCCTATATGTGACTCCAGACCCACAGCAATGTGGTTGACTCTTAACTGCCCTCTGGGCAATTAGTGATAGACATTAAATGTTGGCCTAGCCAGCGACACCCTCATCCTGTGAATGAAGAAAGAAAAAAAGACATCCAGACTTGGAAATATATCGCGGTTCCTTCAGTATCACTGGGACAAAATGCTAGATTTCCCTCCCTTAGGGCATTGTGGGTCAACCTACATCCCATGAAACTGCATAATTCGAGAAGGCAGTTCAACACCACGTTCTCAAGGGCAAACAGGGACAGGCAATAAATGTTGACCCAGCCAGCAACACCCAAGTTCCATGAGTGAACGAAAAGAAAATTCAAATTCCAGGAACTGCCATGGTGGGATTTGAACCCACGTGCCCAGGACATTACCTGGGTCTCTGGTTTAATACTCTAATGAAAATATGACTAGGCCATCTGCTCCCCTCATTTCAAATGGCACAACAGAGCTACATTTCAAAACGAGTGAGGTTGGGAGCGATAGTATTCATTGTATATCTACCTCCACCATCCAGAAGGACAATCTGGAATACTATGTCCAGTTCTGGTTGCCCAGTTATAGGAAGAATATTATCAAGCTGGACAGGGTTCAGAAGAGATTTACAAGGATGTTGTTGGGTATGGAACGTTTGAGCTTGAAGGAAAGGCTGGATAGACTGGGATTTTTTCACTGGAGCATAGGAGGTTGAGAGGTGTCCTGAAAGAAGTTTATAAAAATTGAGAGGTACAGATAGAGTTGATGGTAATTGTCTTTTCCCTAATTTCAAGACCAGGCAGCACATATTTAAGGTGAGAGGAGAGAGATTTTTTAAAAAATGAGGCAAATTTTTTTTTTTTTTTTTTTTACACAGAGGGTGGTTCGAATGTGGAATGAACTTCCTGAGGACGTGGTGGATGTGGGTAGAATTACAATGTTTAAAAGACATTTGGATAAGTATGTGACTAGGAAAGGTTTGGAGGGAAATGGGCCAGGAGCTGGCAGGCAGGACTACTTTAGTTTGGGATTATGTTCAGCATGGACTGGTTGGGCCAAAGAGTCTGTTTCCGTGCTGTATGACTTAACGACTGTATATGTGGGAATATCACCACCTGCATGTTCTCCTCCAAGACACAGACCATCCTGACTTGAAGAGACATATCACCGTTCCTTCATCAGCACTGGGTCAAAATCATGGTACTCCCTTCCTAACAACACTATGGGGATACCTTCACCACCCAAACTATAGCAGTTCAAGAAGTGGCCCCTTACCACCTTCTAGAGACCAATTAAGGCTGTGTATTAAGTGTTGGCCTTGCCACTCACTTCCAGATGCCGTGAAAGATTATTTTGATAACAAAAATCAAACCTGGAGTTGTTTCACTAATCTCTCCTTTGTATCCAGTTTCTTCCAAAAGCTCCCGCAAAGCAGCAACCTCTGCAGTTTCACCATCATCTATGAGACCTGAGATGAAAGCATACAACCAAAATGAACATAAGAAAATGAATCTAAGGATACAGCTATGCGGTACACGAGAATGGCAGAGGAGTTAAACGGATACTTTGCTTCAGTCTTTAGAATGCAACATTCCATTAATACTAAAGAATATGGAGCAGAAATTAATTACCAACACCATCACTACACAACCCATATTAGACTAACCAATGGTTCTAAAGGAAGGGAAGTCCCTTGGCCCTGATGACATGCATCCAAGAATTCTAAAGAAGCAGCTGCAGAGATAGTGGATGCATTGGTTATAATTTTCCAAAATTCCTTGGATTCTGTAGAAGTTCCAGAGGACTGGAAAACTGCCTATTCAAAAGGAAGGGAAGCAAAAAGCATGCAAATGTAGGGCTTTTAGCCTACAATGTCTATTGTTGGAAAAACATTGGAATCAATTATTAAGGAAGCACTAGCAGCACATTTAGAAAATCATAATCTAACCAAGCAAAGTCTGCATGGTTTCACGAAAGGGGAATACTGTCTGACTAATTTATTGGAACTTTTCAATACGTCTCAACCAGAATAGATAGAGTGGAACCAGTAGATGTATTGTACTTGTCCTTTCAGATGGCATTAGGCAAGGTACCTCACAAAAGGTTAAGTCATAAGATAACAGCCCATGGTGTTAGAGGTAGTATATTGGCATGGATAGACAATTGGCTGATGGGCAGGAAACAGCAAATGGGGATAAGGGATTCTTTTTCAGGTTGGTGACCTGTAACCAGCGAGGTTCCACAGGGATCAGTGCTGGGACCACAACTGTTTACAATACATATCAATGACTTCAAGGAAGGAAGCAAACATACTGTAGCCAAATTTGCAGACAACACAAAAATAGGTGTAAAGGCAAATTGCAATAAGGATACTAGCAGGTTACAGAGATCTAGTGATAGGTGAAGTAATTGGGCAAATGCAGTATAACATGGAAAAATGTGAAGTTGTTCATTTTGGAAGGGGGAACAAAAGTACAGAGTATTATTTAAATGGAGGAAAACTGCAGAAACCTGCAACACAAAGGGACTAGGGGGGAATTATACACAAAACTAGCACAACAGGTAATCTGGAAGGAGTATATGAGCAAGGAAGTCTTACTGCAATTGTACAAAAGTGCTGACGAGACCACAGCTAGAGTACTGACAGAAGTTTTTGTCCCCTTATTAAAAGAAAGATATTATTTCATTGGAGGCAGTTCATAGTAGGTTTCCAAGGATGATCCCTGGTATGGAGGGATTGTCTCATGAGCAAAGTTTAAACACATTGGGACTCTACTCACTGAAGTTTAGAAGAATGAGGGGTGATCTCATTGAAATGTACAAGATTCTTAAGGGACTTGACAGGGTAAATACTGAGAGAATGATTCTCCTCATGGGGGAGTCTAGGACCAGATGGCATAGTCTCAGAATAAAGGGCACTAATTTAAGACCGAAATGAGGAGGAATTTCTTTTCTCAGAGGGTGAGTGTCTTTGGAACTCGTTGCCACACAGCGCTGTGGGGGCAGAGTCCTTGTGTTTACTTAAAGCTGAGACAGATAGATTCTTGATCAGTCGTGGAATCAAGGGCTGTGGGGAAAACATAGGAAAGTGGATGTGAGGAATGTCAGATTAGCCTTGATCCTATTGAATGGCACAGCAGGCTCGAGGGCTGAACAGCTTACTCCTGTTCCTATTTCTTATGGTCTTATCTAGGCAGTGGTTCACCAAATCACAATATAGACTCTGCCCTATCATGTTTCTAAATCTCTCAATTCACCATGAAATGTTGTATATTTGATTAAAAGCATCAGACCAATATGGTGTACTATTTATATTGACTTGGATTTCTGAACCTTCAATCAAATTATCCCAGCTTTAGTAGTTTCACTTAAGAGTCCTCTTGAGCTACTTTGTTCAGAGAACCAGCTGTGTACTAAAGAAAAAATCTACGATACTGCTCCTTCTCTCACACAACAACCTCTTAAAAAAGTGCAATGAGCAAAGGCTTTTCAAAACATGCTACATCAAATATCACTGTAGAAAATGGGGTACAATACCTGGTTGGCAAGAAGGAACAAGTACTGTGCCACAGGGATCGGTACTGGGACCTTGGTTGTTTACAATTTATAGAAATTATTTGAATGTTATTGTGCTTACAGCACAAAGATAGGAAAGTAAGCTGAAAGGAGACATAACAAGGCCACAGAAGAACATAAATAGGTTAAGTAAGTAGGCAGAGATCTGGTAAATGGAGTTAATATGGGAAATGTGAAGGCGTCCACTTTGACAGGAAGCACAAAAAGAAGAATATTGTTTAAATGGTGACACATTGCAGGGCTCTGAGATGCAGGGGGGATTTGTGTGTCCAAACGCATGGATTGTAAAAACAGCAAGTAATTAGGAAAACTAACAGAATGTTACCATTTCTTGTGAGGGGAATCAAATACAAAATTTTGCTTCAGTTATACAGGATATGGTGAAACCACTTCTGGAGTACCATGTACACTATTAGCATCCTTAAATAAGGGAAGATTTAAGTGCATTGGAAGCAGTTCAGAGAAATTTTTTCAGATAAAATGTTGGACAGGCTTGGCTTGTATACCCCTGAGTTTAGAAGAGTAAGAGAGGACTTGACTGAAACAAAAAATTCCGGGGGGGCACGAGGGTTTGGCAGAGTGAACTTTGAAAGGATGTTTCCTTCTCTGGGAGAATCTAGAGCCAGGGTCACCATTTGAAAATAAGGGGTCACCCATTTAAGACAGAAATCAGGTGAAACTGTTTTTCTAAAAACCGAAAGAACTATGGGTGCTGTAAATTAGGAACAAAAACAGAAGTTGCTGGAAAAGTTCAGCAGGTCTGGCAGCATCTGCGAAGAAAAATCAGAGTTAACGTTTCGGGCCGACGTTTTCCTAGGTGCCATCAGTTCTGAGGAAGGGTCACTGGACCCAAAACGTTAACTCTGTATTTTCCTTCACAGATGCTGCCAGACCTGCTGAGCTTTTCCAGCAATTTCTGTTTTTGAAACCTTTTTCCTCTCAGGATTGATTGTAAGTGGTTAGAACTCTCTTCCTCAAAAGGCAGAATACTTTGAACACCCTAAAATCAGAGGGTGACGGATTCATCGTAAGAAAGGGGCGAAAGGTTGTAGGAGGTAGGTAGGAACATAGAGTTGAGGTTACATTCCGATCAGCCACGATCTTGTTAAATGGCAGGCAAGGCTTGAGGGAGCAAATGGCCTCTTCCTGCTCCTAGCTCATTGTTATTTTAAGTCAAGCTTTGCAAAATGGCATCCACGTGACCTTTCAAAAAAAAATTCATATTCAAAGTGAGAAATTTTAGTGGTGTTTAGGTGAGGACACTTTTCCACTTCAGACATTTCCAGGTCAAACAGAGATCTGATGCAGAGTACAGCAAAATTCACTCCAGTCTCAAGTCTCAAATTAGTCTTAAATTAGCACCTTACGTACAATCATGGGTAGGTAAAAGACGACCTGGTCCAGCAGTTTTATCAGTACGGCTTTTTTACAATTCCCATTCAAGCAATCCCACAGCTTTCAGAATCGTCGATTCTGACACAGAAAAAGCAATTCACTGTGTCTGTGCCTGCTCTCCAAGCAAGGATACTCTTTATTACCAAATTACAGCAAATTCCAGCATTCAGTTCTGCTCAATTTACACACATTGTATTTATAGTTACTTCAGAACATGCATCAGAAACTTTGAAAGAAAGAAAGACTTGCATTTATCAACACTTGCCCTTCACAAACAGGATGCCCCAAAGCTCATTCCAGCTAAGTAAGTATTTAATGATTGTAATGTAGGAAATATAGCAACCAAGGGCCTAACCAGCAGCAATGTGATGATGACAAAGATAATTGTTCTGTGATATTAATTGAGGGATAAATAACGGCTAAGGCGCCAGTAGTAAACATTCCACTCTTCTTCAAAATAAGACCATGAGGTATTATACAAACATTAGAACAGGCAAATGGGACATAAGTTTGATGTTTTATCTGAATGATGGCACCTACGACTATGCAGGACATCTTCAGTGCTGCAATGGAGTTATAGCTCAGACTGTGTGTTCAATGCCTAGAGTGGCATTTGAACCTGAGTGTGACCAAGTGAGCCACAACAGGCACTTTGGAAAGAATACAGCAGTCACCCATTACCCCATGCTAGAAAAACAAAATGTACGGAAAAGAAAAGCTTCTGTTATGGGTAGCAAATGGATTTTTGTTCCCATTGTACGTAAGAAAGAAATTGGAGGCAGTCCAGAGAAGGCTCACTAGGTTAATGCTAGGTATGGAGGAATTAGCTTATAAGTGATTAACATGGTTTGATCTGTACTCATTAAAACATAGAAGATTGAGAGGAGACCTTAACGAAACATATAGCATTATTAGGGGACTTGACAGGGTAGATATGGAAAAATCGTTTCCCCTTGTGGGAAGTCCAGGACCAGATGGCACTATCTTAGAGTAAGGGTCCCATTTAAGACAGAGATGAGGAGGAATTTCTCTCAGAGGGTAGTGAATCTGTGGAATTCTTTACTGCAATGGCATGTCAAGGCTGGGTTACTAAGTATATTCAACACTGAGATAGGCAGATTTTCAACCAGGAAGGGAATCAAGCATTATAGGGATGAGGGCGGAAGGTAGAGTTGAGGATTATTAGATCAGCTGCAATCTCATGAAATGGTGGAGCAGACTCAATGGGCTGCATGGCCTAACTTTTGCTCCTACATCGTATGGTCCTAGTATAAAAAAATTTGCAGGAATTTCAGAAAGACATGATGATAGTTGAGACTTTTTGTACCATTCTCACAGAGTCTTCTCAAAGCCATTGCTGTTAAATTAAAATAACGAAGAGTACGTTCAAACACCTATGACATCACCTGCTGGTAGTTCCAGGCAGTAGCATCCCATTGGCGGCCTGAACTGTTTTACCATAATCAAACAGTCATAGTGCAGAGTTTTTTTTAGCACGGCTAGTACAGCTACTCCTAAATGTTGGAAGGAAACAAAAACAAGTTATTAGTTTGAAAGCTCAAATTATAAGAACAAAAGGTGCGAGAGTAAGCCATTCAGCCAATCAAGCCATCCAATATGATCATGGCTGATCTTCTACATCAATTCCCCTTTTATTGTTTGATCCCCAAATCCATTGGATTTCAAGAATCTATCAATCCTAGTGTTGAATATAACCAACACTTGAACACCACAGCTCTCTATAATATATAATTCCAAAGACTTTAAACCATCTGAACAAAGATATTTTTCTTCATCTCAATCCTACAACATTCACCCTCTTATTCTGCAATTTTCCACTGCCAGCAGAAACAGCATCTCATCATCTCCCTGTCAAACTGTCTCAGAATGTTGCATGAAACTGCCTCTCCCTCTTCTAAATTTTAGACAGTACAGGCCAATTTTACACAGACTGAGGTTACCTCCCAGCCACTGTTCTAAGAACAATGTCAGATGCATTAATATACATGGTGAATCCAGTGCCTTTCAGCTAACTACAAACTTCTGCTTTCTCAAATTAATAGTTTTTTCAGATATTGATTTATTCCTAAATGGAATGCAAGGCTGTTTTAAGAAAGTTTTGCTATCCACATTCAGTTACAACAGACTGGTGGCTGTACAAGACAATAATTTTTGTTATTCAGGTTAATGCAGCACTCCACAAGGACAAGGAGTGGGAGTACACCATTCGGCCCACTGAACCTGCTTTGCCATTCAATGTGATCATAATCGATCTTGAGTTTCAACTCCACCTTCCTGAACATTCTCCAAATCTCTCGACTTCCTTAAAAATCTCTCTCCCCCAGCCGGAAGCATATACAATGATAGGCAACCACAACCCTCTGGGGTACAGAATTCCAAAGATTCACAACCCCACAAGTGCAGAAATTTCTCAACTCAGTCCTAAATGATTGGCCCCTTTGCCTTAGGCTCTGTTCTGAGTTCTAGATTTGTCAACCAGTGGAAACAATCTTGCAGCATCTATCCTGTCAAACATTTACAGTATCCTATAGGTTTCACTGAGATTGTCTCAGATTTCTCTAAGCATCAAAGAATATAGACACAGCTTACTCAGGATCTCATCACAGGACACTCCCTCATCCCAGGGTCCAACTTGGTGAACCTTCACCTCCAATGCAAATATATCCTTTCTTAAACATGAAGACCAAAAGGGCACACAATTCTCCGGATCTGGTCTCAGCAATCCCCTGTACAACTGTAGCAAGACTTCTTTAGTCCTGTACTTTAAACCCCTTGCAGTAAAGGCCAGAATGGCATTTGCTTTAAGCAAAAGATGGGAAAATGTCAGTAGCCCGTCTGAATACGGGAACAAGAAACAGCAACGCCTGTTACTATTCTCCATACCTTTTTCGGATATAAGCAGTCTCACAAAATAAAAGTTTAAATGATCAACCTTGGAAGTAGAAACCTTTCATATTGATGCAGTGGGCAATAATGATTTTGGAGTCACGTAATCAGGGTATTTGATTGTTAACAGCACCATGGGCGCACTCAACTCTCCCTCTCCATGGACTGTAGTGGGTCATCACCATTTAAAGATGAGCCATAAATGCTAGACCAGACAGTGACACCCACATCCCATAAATGAATAAAAATAAGTTGCTTTAATATTAACTCTTTTGTTCCAACTGCATTTCCATGTAATGCTCCTTCAACTCCAAAGGACAAGGCTAATCCAGAAATTCTCCATGTGGTCAAAAAAAAAGGATTCTTATTGAGATGAGATGATTTCAGGTGACCAATTTAGATTCTATTATTGCGTTAGCTATCTGGGTGATGTGGTAAAACTGCAAATAGTCAAACAGCAGAATTGAAACTTTGAAAGGTGATTCAAGGTCTATTATGAGTCCTTTTGTTTCCCAGATGTTTGAAATGATCACACTTTAGGCTTGGGAAGATGAGAGTGCTAAGTCCAACTTGCCATGTTACTTGGTTGAAAAATGCCTAGGCAGGTGTTGTTTCACACTCTATTGCAGCCGTGAACGTGGTTTCAATGGAATTCTTACCCTACACGCAACTGATTTCTAGCCAATTAGTTATTAGCTGTTTACTGACTGGACATCAAAATATAACAGGGTCCAATATAGTAAAGAGTGTGTTACAGGGCCATTGTATCAAGTTTCCTGTGGAAACATTTGATGCAATACTTTTTTCCGCATGTAGCTTTACAGACAATAGAGTTCTAATTGTTATTTTTTGGCTGTATTTATTGTGAATGCCACCACTAGGTGAAAAGGGGCAGGGGGACGCAGCAGCATCTGCACATGTGCAGAGAGCACCAGTTGGTCACCTTGGCATTGGTAACATTGGTAACATTGGTAACTCCGTAATGTTATAGGGCAAATGCAACTGCAATCTGCTGTAAGATTGCAATGCAATACTGTCTCAAAGTGAATGAGACAGCGATTCACACTTCACTTAAGGTTTCTGCATCTGCAAATATTCAAGTTAAACTGATTACTGCGCACTGTGCTTCTATCCGAGACCAACTAGTGTTCTCACAGGGAGTGCAGCTACAGAGCAGAAAACAGATTTGGGCAATAAACTATAGAGAAGTTTAATTGCTCACTCACCATCAGATTTACAGCTTGGTTTTCTGGTTGTTCGTTTCACTGTTTCCCAAACCCTATTTTAATAAAAATAATGCAAATAAAACACTTTTTAAGATTCATGCTGTTATCTTATTGTTTTTAGTTTGTAAAAATGTCTCGATGAGCTTCACCGATATGTAATTAGGCAAATATAGAATGCTAAACCAAGTATCAGGACAGACAACCTGAGTTTGGTCAAAGAGTTAGCTTTAAGAATGCCTTTGAAGCAAACAGCAAGGAAGAGACAGAAGAATTTACTGAGGAAGGTCTAGAGCAAGTGGTTAGGTGGCTGCAGGCACAGTCATCAAAGATGGGACAAAGACAGATGCACAAAGCCAGCAACAGAGGAAAAGTGAGTTGTTGGCTATAGCACTGGAATAAGCGACAGATCAGAATTAAAAAGAAACATTCAAGATTCCTTCTAAGAATTATATTCATGCGCAAAAGCAAAAGGAGGTTATTCAGCCCCTCTACTCTCAACTCTTGCCTGCCAGGCCCACAAATCCCAACTTCCTTGTCAATCAAAACTCTGCTGAACTCAGCCATAGATGCATTTAATGACCTCCCTGGAAAAGAATTCAAACAGCAATGACCCTTTGAAAGAAGACAATCCACATCATCTCCATTTTAAAACAGAGAGCACCCCCAACCTTCACCCTGTGAAGTACACTCAGAATCTTACTTATTTCATTAAGATCACCTCTCATTCTTCTGGACTCCAATGAGTACAGGCTCACGACTTCCTCAGAAGGCAATTCAGGTACCAGCCTAGTGAACCTTCTCTGAACTACTTCCAATACACGTATATCCACACATCGAGGAAGGAAGTCAAAGTATACACTGTACTCCAGGTATGGTCTCACCAATGCTCTGTAACAAAACTTTTATACTCCAGTTCCTTTTGCAATAAAAGGTCAACATTCCATTTGCCTTCCTAATTACTTGTTGTACCATCAGCATACAAGGATAAACAGATCCATCAGTACGGCAGTATTCTGCAGTCTCCCTCCACTTAAACAATATTTGCCTTTTCTATTCTTCCTGGCAGAGTGGATGACTTACTTTTTTCCCCGCATTATACTCCATCTGTCAATGTTCTGGCAACTTGCTTAGCCTACTTATTATAAATTCTTTGTATCCTCCTCACAACTAGCTTTCCTACCCATCCTTGTATCCTCAGCAAACATGGCCACAATACACTATGTCCCTTCATATATATCATTAACAAATTATAAATAGTTTCAGCCCCACACACACATTGATCTTCCAGATTACTCATGGCAACAGGTAAGTAATGTGGAAGTAGGAGTTTAGGGCTCCTGCCCATAAGTATTAACTAGCAGATAGCTCATAAGAGATTCCAACAAGTGTATCAACTACACAATCTAGCTACATTTCCGTTTCAGCCAAGATGATTTCAAATCCTGAAAGCCCAGATTTGTAGGACGACTAATTCTTTATCAAGTTATGGCAGACAGCTCAGAAATATGGGATATTTTACCCCCACCATACCTGGTTTTGCCAGTAGGATCTATGTAGGTTGTCTGCAAAAGTTGAGCCCATTTGCCTTTTGCCAGTACCTAGAAATGAATTAATAGCATGTTCAACAGAGCAGAATGAACTCAGGCTTACTGACTTTGTCAAACCAGAACAGATTAGGAAGATACCAGGCTGATCCCTGATCCAAGGGGATAGTTGATTTCATACTGCACTGCAGCAGGACAGCAATAATTGGTCTCAATGTCACTCAATTAAGTAGTTTGGGATCGGGGGCGGTGGAGGGTTATTGGGAGAGGTGGAAGGAAAAATAAAGTATTCAAATTGGAAATGCATGACCATGAACACTAGCTGAAATTAAAGTAATTTCGCAGAGTGTGATGGTTTTGCAGTCAATCAGCGAGTACAAGATCAAGTGTATAGAGCAATTTGAACATATTACCTCTTCTTTGATGATTGATTGGTTAGCTGTATAATTTGGTTCCATGTTTGCTGATGGTCCCTGAAGTTGATAGTTAACTTTACTTTGCACAATGCAAGCAAATCAAAATGGACCTTTGGACTCAGGAACAACAATGCTCTTTCTATGGATTCTGGCCCCAGTCACTCTGCGCCGTTCCCAAAGTTTCCAAATCTGCAAAGCAAACTGAAGGAAGACTTGTTTAAGCTCAATGTTTGCTAAAACATCACCAGCATAAAATAACGCACAATTGTCACTGAAAATAAAAGAATAATATCTCTCAGTACCACTGTTGCTTCTAAGCCTTCTGCAGCTCAGAAAGCAGGTCTAAATGTAGGCTTATTAAAGGCATCAGTATAAATCCACCCAGATATATGACTCACATGGGACAGACTAGAGATGTAAAGAACCTTAAACTTGCTCCAAAAAAACCGAAAAGCGTGTTGTCAATTGACAAATCGTGTCATGCCCCAAAACAAAACAGTCATCCAAGGTACTGCAGGAAACTTCAAGTAAACTTAAATAATAATTGTTATAGTTAGGCATGCTTGCAACAAAATGACAAAAGAGTCATTTATCATTAAAATATAATTCACATATTAGACCCATATTTCTCTACAATAAGTAAGGTATAAAGATTAGCTTAGCAGGTGAAATTGGGTTTTTAAATTTCTCTCCGAAGATTTATACAATTATTTTAGCTATTATTATGAGAGATTAATTTTATCTGCAATGTTTCATGTGGTTGATTAGCTCATTGACAGTTATCTGGAGTGTCAGGTGAAGAAATATTATAAGGAGGATGATCTGCATTCTCCAAAAAAAAAAAACATGAAACATCTTCTAACTGACAGTTAGGTACCAGCAGGTCTGAAGACAAAAAGATATGATAATACAATAATTTCTTTTTTAAACGTGACAAATATCTTTCAATGACACACAGTTTCTTTTTATCCATTCATGGGCTATGGGGGTCACTGGCTGGGACAGCACTTATTGCCCATCCCTAGTTGCCCTTGAGAAGCAGGTGTTGAGCTATCTCCTTGAACTGCTGCGTCTATACGCTGTAGGTAGACTCAATGCTTTTAGTGAGCGAATTCCAGGATTTTGATCCAGCGACAGTGAAGGAATGGCAATATATTTCCAAGTCAGGATGGTGAGTGGCTTGGAGGGGAAATTGTCTGGAGTGATGTTCCCAAGTATCCGCTGCCCTTGTCCTTCTAGATGGAAGTGGTTGTGGGTTTGGAAGGTCTAAGGATCCTTGATAAATTTCTGAAGTGCATCTTGTTGATAGTACATACTGCTTCTATATGAAGAGTCACGAATGGCGCTGAATATTGTTTGCCAATGACTGCACATCTCCACTTCTGACCCCACGATGGAAGGAAGGTCATTGATGAAGCAGCTGAAGATGTTTGGGCCTAGGACACTACCCTGAGGAACTCCTGCAGAGATGTCCTGGAGCTGAGATGACTGACCAACAACCACAACCATCTTCCTATGTGCTAGGTATGACTCCAACCCGCAGACAGCTTTCCCCTGACACCCACTGATTCCAGTTTTGCTAGGGCTCCTTGATGCCACACTTGGTAAAATGCAGACTTGATGTCAAGGGCTATCACTCTCACCTCACCTTTCGAATTCAGCTCTTTTGTCCCTGTTTGAACCAAGGCTGTAATGAGGTCAGGTGCTGAGTGGCTCTGACAGAACCCAAACTGGGCATCACTGAGCAGGTTATTGCTGAGCAGGTGCTGCTTAATAGCACTGTTGATGACACCTTTCATCGCTTTACTGATGATTGAGGGTATACTGACAGGGTAGTAATTGGCCAGGTTAGATTTTTGTGTACAGGACATACCTGGACAATTTACCACATTGTTACATAGATGCCAGTGTTGTAACTGTACTGGAACAGCTTAGCTAGGGGAATGGCAAGTTCTGGAGCACAAGCCTTCAGTTCTATTGCCGGAATGTTGTCAGGACCCACACCTTTGCTGTATCCAGTGCCTCCAACTGTTTCTTGATATCACATGGTAGGACATATCAGGGATGGGAATGGTGGCGTTTGGGACATTGTCTGTAAGGTTTGATTCTGTGAGTATGTCTATACAGACATACTGTTGCTTGAACAGCCTGAGAGAGAGCTCTCCCAGTTTTGGTACGAGCCCCCAGATGTTAGTAAGGAGGATTTTGCATACTCCGAAAACACATTGCGATTCTGTAGCACTCACAGGGAACACTCACACTGAGGAAAATTATTGAGCAGGAGAAAAAAGGAAAATGGACGTTAGCAGAAGAATAAAGGAAACTAAAGCAAAATTTTGATAAGGCTTTTGATGGTCATACATGGAGGGAGGTGTGTGGTGGGGCAGAGAGGAGGTGATGTTAAGTTAGAAGAGGGCATGAGTATCATAGCTAAAGGAATGGCCTGCAATCATGCAATGGGAGTCCAAAAGTAAAAGGTGCATGCAAACCTTGAATAAGTCATAACTTGAGCTTAAACTTGTTTGGACAATATGAGCCAATGTCTAACAGCAGTATGACTTTTGTGGATGAGGACATGAATTGTGCTGTTCAGTTTGAGTTATAATGTGTGGAAGATTGGGGAAGAAAGACCAATTCCAGCAAGTGGAGAATCAGAGAAGGCAAACCTCACAGTGATCCTGTTTCCCGACCTCCCTAATCGAAATTGGTTCCCCGTCAAGAAACATCTTGGTTTTAAGATTCTCATCTTGTGTTCGAATCCCCTCATAGCTTTTTCCCTGTCTATTTCTGATCTCCTCCTGACCACAACCCTTCAAGATATTTGCACTCGTCTAAATCTGGCCTCCTTAGCATCCCCAGTTTAATTGCCCAATCACTGGCAGTCACACCTTCAGTTTCCTTGACACCAAACTCTGGAATTCCCTTCCCAAACCTCTCTATCTTCCTTTTCTCCTTAAAACATATCGCTTCAAACGAGCTTTTGGTCATCTGCTTCAATACCTTATGTATCTTGGTGTCATATTTCATTTTTAAATGCACCCACCCCACCCTGTGAAATACTCTGGAATATCTGATTAGATTCAAGATGTAAACAAAGTTGTTGTTGCAGTCGTAAAGAAGTGCCTATCAATTTATCTGTTGAGTAGTTTTGTTGGCAGCAATCCAGATTCTCGATAAGATTGTAGGAATTGGACCCTACGCTGAGGGCTGAGTTCAGAAATGGGGCTGGTGCAAATTTGTACCGTCAATGTGCCATTGTTTCACTGAGACAGCAACCAATGTCCTCTCTGCCTATCCTTCCCAAAAACATTTCCTGCTGTGATCCATATTGAGTCTTAACAATTGGCACAACCCCTCAGGGGTGCTGACAGAGCTGGGGACTGGTTAGAGCAGAGATATAGAGTTAAACCTCTATAAGAGCACAATCTCAACACTGATGTCTCAGAGCTCGAGATGTGAAGATTTCATTTTGCGCTCCAATTTTGGGTCCTAACCCACAATTTGACCAGCCCTGGTCCAAGTTCCTTGGGCACATTCTCCCATATTCCTGGCAAACAGAGTTCCCTTGACCAATTATGTCTCAAAAAACAAAACAGATGAATTAATTATTTGTACACGCAAGTATTATTATACAGAATTAAGACAAAAAAGACAGACATTAGCAGAATGAAGCTTAAAAAAAAATTGAACATAACTGAAAAGACAGAAGTTGAGAACATAAAGCTGCTCTGAAAACTAACTGTACACACTTTTTCCTCTTTCTTAAGACCACCAGGTATAGGAGCTGAAGTAGATCATTCAACCCATCGAGTCTGCTCCACCATTCAATGAGATCATGGCTGATCTGATAATCCTCAACTCCATTTCCTTGTTTTTTCCCCACAACAGTCCATACCTATGCTGACTAAAAATCTGTCGATCTCAGCCTTGAATATATTAAAATGATCCAACCTCAACACCCACTGTAGTAAATAATTTCATTAATTCATTACTTTCTGAGGGAAGAAATTCTTCATCTCTGTTTCAAATGTGTGACTCCTTATTCTGAGATTGTGCCCTCTGGCCCTATACTCTCCCAACAAGGGGGAAACAATCTCTCAGCAACTACCCTTTAAAGCACTAAGAATCTCATATGTTTCAATAAAGTTTCTTCTGATTCTTCTAAATTCCAATAAGTACAGGTCCAATCTCATAAGACAGCTCCTCTGCACCTAGCACCAATCTAATGAACTTTCTCAGCATTGTCTCCAATTCCAGTATATCTTTCCTTAGATAAGGTGCTCAAAACTGTTCACAGAATTCCCACTGTAGTGTGACTAACACCTTGAATAGTTTTAGCAAAACCTCTCTAATTTTTATACTCCATTCCCTTTGATTTCTGTTCGGATAATTCATAGAGAGTGTGTGCGAGTACGTGCATTAACTGAAGGTACTATTTAAATTTGGCATTTGCAGTGACAGAGCAAAATGAACAATGTGAAGAAGGCTTATCTGAATGATCAAATCTCCTTTAAAACTTCTGTCAAATCGAACTAAATCTGACGGAACTTGTAGAACAGGGAATACCCTTCAAGTTTACAAGAAAAGGGGTAACTATAACCTTTGGACATTCAAGGAATAATGTTTTACCCATTTACAATTTAACATTCCACACAGACAGAGCCTGCAATTGCTGACAGTGGCGTTTCCTCTTTCATTGATAACCAAGCACCAAAGAAATAAAAAGTTTCCCCAGACTATCAAGGGTGTTAGCAAGATAAATATAAAGCTGCTACTTTACCAATAAATGGGAGGATGCCGTGAAGATTGATCCAGAAAGGAGTTTTGGAACCGACGACCAGCAACACTCCCTAAACACCTTCCTCCTGTGGGCGGCCCGAGCGCTTTTTCCTGTGACACAGCATTCCGCCCCCCCACCACCGGCCAATTACAGCCAACACCCGACTTCCGGCCGGGCTGCGGCGGGGGCTGGGGGGGGGGGAAGGGTTTGGGCGGTGCACAGCTACAGCGGAAGCGGAGCTGTAGTTGCCAGGAGTGATGAAGAAGGAGCAGGTGCTGAGGTGTCAGCTCTCGGCCTGGTACCCGCTCTTCAAGAAGCTCACCATCAGGAGGTGGGTGTTGCTCGTTTCGCGTGGTTTCACAGCCGCGGGACTGCAGCGACCGCCAAATGTCTGCGTTGGTGTAGCGCCCTTTCCTGCAGCCGGGGGTGGACGCAGAAGGGGCAGGTTTACCAGAGCGGAGAGGGTTCGGTAGGTTCGCCCCAGGTACGGGGTGGGGGGAGAGACTGTCTTATGAGGAGAAATTGAGCGGATTAGGCCTGAACTTGCTGGAATAAAGACGAATGACAGGCGACTCGACTGAAATATGCAGGATACTTGGGGGGGGACTTGACAGAGTAGCTCAGCAAAGGCTTTTCCCCCTTGTGGGATAATCTAGGACCAGAGGGCATCATCTCAGAGTGAGGAGCCTCCCGTGTAAAACAGTCATAGTCATACAGCACGGAAACAGACGCTTCAGTCCAACCATGAAATAACAAGGTGTAGAGCTGGATGAACACAGCAGGCCAAGCAGCATCAGAGGAGCAGAGAGGCTGACGTTTCGGGCCTAGACCTTTCATCAGAAAAGGGGGAGGGGAAGGGGGTTCTGACATAAATAGGGAGAGAGGGGGAGGTGGATAGAAGATGGATAATGGAGCAGATAGGTGGAGAGGAGACAGACAGGCCAAAGAGGCGGGGATGGAGCCAGTAAAGGTGAGTGTAGGTGGGGATAACAAGGTGTAGAGCTGGATGAACACGGCAGGCCAAGCAGCATCAGAGGAGCAGGAAGGCTGATGTTTTGGGCCTAGACCCTAAACATCAGCTTTCCTGCTCTTTTGATGCTGCTTGGCCTGCTGTGTTCATCCAGCTCTCCACCTTGTTATCTCAGATTCTCCAGCTTCTGCAGTTCCTACTATCTCTGTAGGTGGGGAGTTAGGATGGGGGTTGGTCAGTCAAGGGAAGACGGACAGGTCAAGGAGGCAGGGATGAGGCTGGTAGATAGGGGGTGGGGGTTGAGGTGAGAGGAGCAGATAGGTGGGAGAAAAGAAGGACAGGTCAAGGAGGCGGGGACGAGCTGGGCTGGCTTTGGGATGAAGTCGGGGGTGGGGAGATTTTGAAGCTTGTGAAGTCAACATTGATACCCTTGAGCTGCAGGGTTCCCAAGCCACCTTTGGGTGGCATCGTTGTGGCACTGGAAGCGGCCCAGGATGGACATGTCGTCCAAGGAGTGGGAGGGGGAGTTGAAGTGGTTCACGACTGGGAGGTGCAGCCATTTGTCGTGAACCGAGCGTAGGTGTTACACAAAACAGTCTCCAAGCCTCCGCTTGGTTTCCCCGATGTAGAGGAGGCCACAGCGGATACAGTATACCACGTTAGCAGATGTGCAGGTGAACATCTGTTTAATGTGGAAGGTTTTCTTGGGGCCTGGGATGGAGATAGGGGGAGAGGTGTAGGGGCAGGTGTAGCACTTCCTGCAGTTACAGGAAAATGTGCCAGGGATAGTGGGGCTGGTGGGGAGTGTGGAGCGGACAAGGGAGTCATGGAGAGAGCGGTTCCTCCAGAAGGCAGCTAAGGGTGGGGAGGGAAAAATATCCTTGGTGGAGGGGTCAGATTGCAGGTGGCCGAAGTGGCGGAGGATGATGCGTTGAATCCAGAGGTTGGTAGGGTGGTACGTGAGAATGAGGGGGATTCTGTTTTTGTTGTTATTGTGGGGAGGATGTGTGAGGAATGAGTTGCGGGGAAACGCGAGAGATGCGGTTGAGGGCGTTTTCGACCACTGTGGAGGGGAAGTTGCAGTCCTTGAAAAATGAAGACATCTGGGATGTCCGGGAGTGGAATGCCTCATCTCGGGAGCAGATGCAGCGGAGGCGAAGGAATTGGGAATAGCGGATGGCCTTCTTGCAGGAAAGTGGCTGAGAGGAGGTGTATTCTAGGTAGCTGTGGGAGTCGGTAGGCTTGAAATAGATATCGGTTTCCAGGGGTTGCCAGAGATGGAAACAGAGAGGTCCAGGAAGGAGAAAGAGGTATCGGAGATGGTCCAGGTGAACTTAAGGTTGGGGTGGAAGGTGTTAGTGAAGTGGATGAACTGTTCGAGCTCCTCGTGGGAGCATGAGGCGGTGCTGATACAGTCATTGATTTAATGGAGGAAGAGGTGGGGGATGGGGCCATTGTAGCTGCGGAAGAGGGACTGTTCCACATATCCTACAAAGAGGCAGGCATAGCTTGGGCCCATGTGGGTACCCGTGGCCACCCCCTTTGTAGGAAGTGGGAGGAATTGAAGGAGAAGTTGTTAAAGGTGAGGACGAGTTCAGCTAGGCGGATAAGGGTCAGTGGAGGGGGACTGGTCGGGCAGTCCATGCAGAACGTAATCTCAAACTAGACTAGTCCCACATTCCTGCTGCAGATGAAGAGGAATTTCTTCTCTCTGTGTAGTGAATCTGTGGAATTCTTTCCTCCCATTGTCAGCCCTCTTATGTTATTAAAAATATATTCAAGGCTGAGATAGACAGATTTTTAAATAGTAAGGGAATCCAGGGTTGTGGGGAAAAAGTGGATTTGAGTATTACCAGATCAGCCATGGTGTTACTGAATGGCAGAACAGACTCAATGGGCTGAGCGGTCTAAATCTGCTTCAGTATCTTATGGCTGCAAAATGGAAAAGTTTAGGGAGGGAGCTCCATAGCTGGAGACTGGAACTTGTGCACAAAAGTTTTGAAGGGTCTTCTCCCTGCAGTACTGAGAGAATACCAAGTTGTAAGAAGAACCATCTTTCAGGTGACCCATTAGACCCAGGCACTGTGTACCCTCTCAGGAGATGAAGGGTCCCACAGCTGTGACTTCAAAGTAGTGTAAGAAAGATACCCCGTCAGTGTCAGAAAAGAACAGATTATCTACTCGTTATTACTTCCAAAATCTTGCCGTGGGCAAATTGGCTCACGTGTTTCCTGCATTACAGCAATTGCTACAGATAAAGAAGTATTTAATTAGCTTTGAAGTGATCTGAAATATCGAGCAATTGCAAAAAGCACTCTACAAATGAAAGTATTTTTCTTTTTTTTTGTTAGCTACCAATACCGAAGTGATTAAAACTGAGGATTAACAAGACATCAGAATTAGAGAAATGCAGATATCTGAGATTTGGAGCAGATTCCACATATGAGGATGGGTGAGGCTGTGGAGGGAATTGAAAATAATGAGGGCAATTTTAAAATCAAGGCATTTTTTAACTGGGAGCCCATGTTGATCAGTGAGCACAGGGGTGAAAATATGAAAAAACCTGATGAGTTATATATGGACAGCGGTGTTTTGGATGAGCTGGAGGTCTGTAGAGGGTAGGTGGCTGGCTGGGCAACCTGAAATAGTCAATTTAGAGCTAATAATGAAGAATGAGGGTTTCAACAGGAGATAAGCTGAGGTAGGGGTGGAGTTGAACAATGTTTTGGAGATGAGATTTTTTGCTCTTACTGCACTCTTATCTTTCAGCACTTACAGTTTTTTCTTATTTATACATGGAATGTGGGCATTCCTGGCTAGACTCGAATTGATTGTCCATCCCTAGTTGCCCAAAAGGCAGTTAAGAGTCACCAACATTGCTGTGGGTCTGGAGTCACACGTAGGCCAGACCAGGTAAGGACGGCAGATCTCCTTCCCTGAGGGGCATTAGTGAATCGGATGGGTTTTTCCGATAATCAATACCAGTTTCATGATCAGCATTAATTTCAGATTTTTAATTGAATCCAAATTCCATCATCTGCTGTGGCAGGATTCAAACCCAGATTCCCAGATCATTACTGGAGTCTTTGGATTCATAATCTAGCAGTAATACCACTAGGTCATTGCCATTAACCATTGATATGGTTAGTCTCACCACCAACAATTACCATGTTGGAAATGAAAGTTAAGGTATTTGAACATCCCAAAACCCCTTTAGCCCAATATCTACCATTTACCTTCACCTGTTTAGATCAAAAGGGATCGTGAACATCTGTTCCAAAGATAGATCGGAGAAAGTGGAGTTGTTTACATTTAGAGATATAAATATCGTTTTAAAAAGTCCATTTAAATTATTAAAATTATATCAGTTCACCATCACGATATCAGTAAGTGTGACTACCGCACAGCCCTTGTGAAGTCAAAGTCCTGCCTTCGCATTGAGAATACCCTCCAGCGTGCTGTGTGGCTTTATCACCGTGCTAAATGGGACAGACTTCAAGCAGATCCAGAAACTCGACTGGGCATCCACGAGACGCTGTCTGCAGCCACATGTCCCAGGATAACCTGCACTCAACCATTACCATCAAGCCAGGGGATCAATCCAGGCTTGAATGGAGAGTGCAGGAGGGCATTCCAGGAGCAGCACCAGGCCTTCCTGAAAATGAGGACTACTTGCACGCCAAACAGCATAAGCTGTCTATGATAGACTGAGGTAACCGATCCCACAACCAACAGATCAGATTTGAGCTCTGCAGTCCTGCCGCGTCCAGCCGTGAATGGTGGTGGACAATTAAACTACTCACTGGAAGAGGAGGCACCATAAATATCCCCATCCTCAATGATTGAAGACCCCAGCACATCAGTGCAAAATATAAGGGTGAAGCATTCGCAGCAATCTCAGCCAGAAGTGCTGAGTGGATGATCCATCTTGGCCTCCTCCAGTGGTCCCCAGCATTACAGATACCAGTCTTCAGCCAATTTGATTCACTCCACGCGATGCCAAGAAACGGTTGGAGACACTAGACACTGCAAAGGCTATGGGTCTTGGCAGTCGGCAATACTACTGAAAACTTGTGCTCCAGAATTTGCTGCTCCCCCAGCCAAGCTGTTCCATTGCAGTTATAACACTGGCATCTTCCCGACAATGTGGAAAATTGCCCAGATATGCCTGTACATAAAGAGCAGGACAAATCCAACTCGCCCAATTACCACCTCATCAGTCTACTTTCGATCACCAGTAAAGTGATGGAAGGTATCATCAACAGTGCTATCAAGCAGCACCTGCTCAGTGATGTCCAGTTTGGGTTCTGCCAGGGCCACTCAGCTCCTGACCTCATTACAGCCTTGGTTCAAACATGGACAAAAGAGCTGAATTCCAGAGGTGAGATGAGAGTGACAGCCCTTGACATCAAGGCTGCATTCGACCGAGTGTGGCATCAAGGAGCCCTAGCAGAACTAGAATAAACGGACATCAGGGGGAAGCTCTCCAATGGTTGGAGTCAGATGGTCGTGGTTGTGTGAGGTCAGTCATCTCTGCTTCACGCCATCTCTGCAGGAGTTCCTTAGTATCCTAGGCCCAACCATCTTCAGCTGCTTCATCAATGACCTTCCCTCCATCATAAGGTCAGAACTGGGGATGTTCGCTGATGATTGCACAATGTTCAGTGCCATTCGCAACTCCTCAGATACTGAAGCAGTTCATGTTCAAATGCAACAAATATCTAGACGTATCTAGGCTTGGGCTGACAAGTGGCAAATAATGTTCATGCCACACAAATGGCAGGCAATTACCATCACCAATAAGAGACAATCTAACCACTGCCCCTGGACATTCAATGTTATGTATGTTCAATGAATCCCCCAACATCAGGGAGTTACCATTGACCAGAAACTCAACGCATAAACACAATGGCTACAAGAGCAGGTCAGAGGCTGGGAATACTGTGGTGAGCAACTCACCACCTGAATCCCCCAACCTGTCCACCATCTACAAGGTACAAGTCAGGAGTGTGATGGAATACTTCCCGCATGCTTTGTTTGGTGCATTACCAACAACACCGTCCAGGGCATAGAATCCCTACAGTGTGGAAGCAGGCCATAGGACCCATTGAGTCCACACCGACCCTCCAAAGAGCATCCCAGCCAGACCTACCCCCTCCCCCATCCCTGCATTTCCCACCCTAGACACTATGGGCAGTTTAGCATAGCCAATCCATCTAACCTGCACATCTTTGGACTGTGGGAGGAAACCGGAGCACCCAGAGGAAATCAACGCAGACACACAATGCAATCAGAATGCAATCTTCACACACAGTCTGAAGCTGGAATTGAACCCGGGTCCCTGGCACTGTGAGACAACAGTGCTAACCACTGAGCCACCATGCCGCCTGCAAAGCAGACTGCTTGATCGCATTACATCCACAAACATTCACCCTCCACCACCAATGCTGAGTAGCAGCAGTGTGTACTGTCTACAAAATACACTGCAGAAATGCACCAACGATCCTCAGTCAGCACCTTCCAAGCCCATGACCACCTCCATCTAGAAGGACAAAGGCAGCAGATATATGGGAACAACACCACTTTCAAAAAGTGATGGGTAAATTGACAAGGACACTGTAATGCCTTTCCAAAAACGAAATCACTTCTCTTTCTAAATTTTTTTAACATGTTAATGGCAACACTTTTTGCTTAACATGTTTATTACTTAGAGAATGGTCAGAGGATATTTGGAGGATGTGCACAAAATCACGTAGGATCTAGACAAAGTAGATGGAAAGAAACAGTTCCAATTGGTAGAAGGTTTAAGAACCATGGGACAGTGATTTGGCAAAAGGCTGAAGAATGATACATGGCAACGAGTGATTGTCTCTGGAATATTTTCCCTCAGATTGTATTGCAGGCAGATTCAGTTGTGACTTTCAAAGGAAGTTGGATAAACACCCAAAGGGAAGCTAATGGGAAAAGGTTTGGATTGTGGGGCTAATCTAATTGTTATTGCAATGAGTCAGCATGGGTCGACGAGCTAAATGGACAATTTCTGTCTTGTCAGCATTCTATATTTCTAAAGCCATGCTACCCACTCCTCACCTCTGCTCCTTTAAAGACCACGCCTGACCAGGCTTTGAGTCATTCCCCTCCTTTCTCTCCTTTTGCTAAAGGTTTTTATCTGACTGTCCTTCAGTGAAGCAATTTGGAATGTTTCCTTATTTTCATAGTTATTGAAAATTGTTAACTAGTTTGCTGAAGCCTTTGGTGATCACTTTCTATCCATGTAAACTGCTCCTTCTGTTTGGAAAACATGTGAACCAGAGCAATCAGGGCAAGATATTTTAATCAACCTGTTGAGACATGTTACAACGCATGTCATGGGCCCGGTGGGACTTTTGGAGTTAAAATTGAACATGTTGGGACAGTTTAGTAGTATCGTCATCTGATTTGTATTACACTTAAACTAGAAGTACTCACTGCTGACTTAAAGGACAAAAAGGCAAACATTCCAAGACAGACATTATTGTCTGCTTCATCTAGTTCCAATATTTCATATTGATTCAGATTGCTAAACCATTTATTTCCTTCTTACGGATAACAGAATTTTCCTGCTAATTAACGGCTTGCATCGTGACTGGATGACTAAGATGACATCATGACTAAGGGTTACAACATATTATTTACAGGTTAGGTCGACCTTTCGGTTTTAAAGTGATCATGAATCAGTGAGCAGCAATTAGTATTCAGTCAGACTGTTTGGTATATGACTTTAGTGATGTGGTTTAAACACTCCATCAGGGTAGAAATAGACTGTAAGCCAATATTCCAACAATGTCAGTATTGTAACAAACAGGCTAAAACAATAGAATAAAACTAATTTGTTCCTGTTATTTTCCAAAAGGAGTTTCCTTAAAAGTTAAAGTAAATCATTTTTGGAGAATATAAGAAGAGTAAGAAACTGAAGCAAAATACAAACCAAAAGTACTGTGGATGCTGTAAATCAGAAACAAAAACAGAAATTGCTAGAAAAGTTCAACAGGTCTGGCAGCATCTGTGGAGAAAAGTCAGAGTTAGTGTTCTGAGGAAGGTTCGCTGGACCTGAAACGTTAACTGTGATTTCTGTCCACAGATGCTCAGACCTGCTGAGCTTTTCCAGTAATTTCTGTTTTTGTTTAGAATCTGAAGTTCCAGTTTCCCTTAATTGGATGATCTGGATAGACATGTTACCTTTAAGTTGTTCACCTACGTTTCTCATTTTACAGTGTTATTCTTCAATTGCCGCAGAATGTAATCGATTATTTACTGGATGATGGGACGCTGGTGATTTCTGGAAGGTACTAATCAAATTGTGTGTGTTTGGTCAAATTATTTCTGTTGTGTGGTGGATGCTGCAGTACAATAAAAAAAGACATGCCAATTTGTGGCATTTATCATAGTCTTGTTTACATGGTTATTACTAATCCATTTAAATGCAAGAGCTAGATTATATTTTTCTGATGAAGCTGAACTTCTTAATTAGTATGATTAATTGGCTTCATCCCATGGAAAACATGAATAAAGTTCAGTAATTCAAAATGTAATCATGCCGAGATATGCACAACTTATTTTTCAACTTCATGAGAGAATAATGTTCATCAATTTAAAATCATGACGTTAATGTGAGTGCAATTAAGAAATTCTAGCCAGTTTTCTACTGAAACTTTTTTAGCAGGACGTTTCATTTTCGAAATACTCCTCATTGGGAATTGTATGATATGCACAGTTTAAGTAATGACTTCATTACTCCAGCCCAGAGCATATGAGTCAGACATAATAAAGAGATACAGCTACATGCTGCTGACCACTTGTGGGGAGTAAGGAGCAAAACAGTGTCTCAAGTTTAACGATTTTGGTTCAGAAACTATTTTTTTGAGTCAAGATTTTGTTTTAAATCAGTTGCACTTTAGTTGGCTAGGTCTTACTTGAGAGTTTCAGCCTGTGATTAATTTCTTGTTTTGTGAAATGTTTAGATGAAACACAAACCTTTCTGGTGTGTCATCATCTTTCTGATACTGACGATGCTGTAATTCACTAATAATAGTTACCGCAGTTTACAATGTACCACTAATGAAATAAAAATCACAGTTGTACCAGCAGTGCTATTGTTATGTTTTAACTATTAAGTGTCATCCTGAAAAGTTAAGTATTCCTTCATTTCACCAATTCCCAATGCTCCTTGAGGCCACATTCCTGATTTTTGATTTATAAACACTCGTTTCCAATTGTTTCAGAAATGAAGCCCCGAGTTGTTCTCGTGTAGATGATGGCAGTGATGAAGAACAGGATGTACAGGTCAGTATTGTCTATAATTTACTGTATTAATGAAACATTTGTATTTGTTTCCATAGTAAGCATAAATATGCATTAATGATTTGTTACAGTAGTTTCTGACATAAGGATGTTAGTGAGGTAACCTTTTGTGTTCTTTTCATGTAGTGGTCAGATGATGAGAATGTGACAACTCTTACGGTAAGGGATATATTTACATGTCTGTAGCTGTGAAATTTTGTGTTGAATATAACTATTTCATTGGCCAAATATCATCTGTAAGTTATCAGAAAGTTCTGGGATTATAGCTTTATTTACAATACTTAATTTTAGTAATCACCTTCTCCTAATCAGGAGACAGCATTGTATAATTTTCAGTTACAATTTTCTGTTCTTTAGTTTGGCAAGTTTGCGTTACTGAATGTAGCCATGCTGTGTGCTCTTAAAATAATGACAATGACAATAAGACAACAAACTGTAGCAGCAGAAGTAGGTCCTTCAGCCTATTGAGTCTGCTCTGCCACTCAGTGAGACTACGGTTGATCTGATAATTGTCAACTCCACTTTCCTGTCTTTTCCACATAACCCCTGATTCTCTTATTGATTAAAATCTTGTTTCTCTCAACCTTGATTATATTTATAACAAGACTGATAAAGAGAGAAATTTCTTCGATCAAAGATTTGAGGATCTTGGCAATTCTTTATCGCAGTGAGCTGTGGATACTGTGTCGTAGAGTAGATTCGAGACAGGCTGATTTTATTTCTTGATATTAAGAGAATCATAGAATATAGTGATAAGACAGGAAAGCTGGCATTCTACCTCAAATTATTATGTGACAGAGCAGGCGTGAAGGCCCACACCTGCTCTGTTTCCGATGTACTTAAATCTAAAAGTAAGAATAGTGTACAAATCTAGCTTGCAATCAACTATTATATTATACTTTTGAACAATTTTAAAATTGGAGCAATTCATTGGTTCTAAATTAAAAATACTTTTGATTTGTTAACACTTGAATTTAACCTTTGAGTGTTTGTCTTTAAAATACAGGCTCCAGAATTCCCAGATTTTGCAGCAAAAGTACAGGAGGCAATAAACTCTCTTGGAGGCAGTGTTTTTCCAAAGCTTAACTGGAGCTCTCCAAGGGTAAGAAACTTGAGGAAGAACTCACACTTGGTTGAAAATGTTTGTTGCCAGCATTCTAAAAAAAAATAATCAGCCTCACTGGCTGGACTCTAGGAAAACTCTGATAAATGAAAAGCAAATTTATATTGGGCCTGAATGTCTGCTTATTGTTCAGGTGTGGTGTGATTGTATCAGACAGTGTAACTCTATTGTAAAAACTCTATGTTGATAAATGGTTTATTTAAGTAATAAAACAAATTCTGTATTGATCTGCAGGTTTCCTGACAAACCGTTCATGTTTCTTATAGAGGCAGAATAATTGTAATTCTTATCATTCTGTTACCCTAGTCTGGCCAAGTTGGTCAGTGCTAGAGAGGAGCAACCAATTAAGTCTTGACTGGCTTCACCAATTTTTATCAAAATATTAATGGTATATGATATATGGTTTAAGTTGGTTGAGATCTAATTTGAAAATTCAGGCAACCAACAGAAACATTTGCAATTTGAGAAAATAAAGCTGTGCCAGGGATTTGTGATCATTGCTGTCACTTCGTTAGCATTTTTGCTTTGTGATGGCTTTCTTGTGTGAATCGGATCAGCACTGAGAGTAGTTGGTAATGGGTGATACAGTGTGTGTCAGTTTGTCATGTAGTGTTTAAAAAATGCTTAAAATTCTCATCTGGTCAGGCAGCATCTGTGGTGGGAGAAGGAGTTAACATTTTAGCTTTCATCAGAACATTTTAAAAATGTTGAGCAATGTAACAATTAGCCATGGTAAATGCAGGGTTATGGGGATAGGTGATTGGGATGCTCTTCAGAGGGTCAGTGCATATGTGATAGCCCAAACAGCCTCTATCTGCTCTGTAGGGATTCTATAATTCTACAATGGGCTGAATGACCTCTTTTAGTCCTGTAACTGTTCTATGGCTCTATGATCTATAGAGACGCTAAGGAGATGGGAACGGCATAATAGAAAAATAAAGATAGGTGTAGAGGAGGGTTTTTAAAAAAATCTTTCATCGGATCTAGCATCACTTGATGAGTATAAATGGGAAAGCAGAATGTATGCACGGTTGGTGTCCAAAGAAATGAAATTGGATCAGAGATAAAAATTTAAGTGTTCAACTTGATGCTGCATCTAGATAGGATGTAAAATGCATCATTAAAGAATGAGATGCCGTACAATGCATCCAGTCTGATGATTCAGAGGCCTGATGATTTGATTCATTAAATCACCTATGATGTAGTACTTGAGTTCCTTCATTAGGTGGCATGCAAGTTTAGCAAAACTTGAAGTCATCTTGCATGAGCATAATTGAGAATTTTTCTCAAACTAAATCAGCAGCTGGTCACTTTTTCTCCTCTGTCCACTTTCGTGAAGATTCCTTTGCGTATGATTCTACAGCGTTTGTGTCACTAGCTTTACTCTGCTTTGTTGATGAAGTTGTTTCAGGAGTCATATTGACAAGTCGATGGACTCAAGGAAGATCAAAATTTGAGCTGATCCTGATGTTATCTTCACTCATATCCCGACACGAGTTAGTAATCAGTATAAACAATGATTAGGGGTACCAATCTGAATTATAATATATCAAAAGCAGTAGATACCAGTCAATTAATAATTTAAAATCTGAAATCAATAGATTTTGCATGTAAAACGGTATGGAACTAAGGCAAGAAGATGGAGCTGAAGTACAGATCAGCTGTGATCTCACTAAATAGCAGAACCAGCTCAAAGGGCTGAATCCATGCCTATGTTGTGCCATCATAACAAAACTCAGCACTGACCAAGAATCAAATCTTGGCCTTTACTAGTCTATATGTTCTCAGATACTCTCTGCTTCTACTGCTTTGAGCATAATAACTTGACTTATTTTAATGTTAGAGAAGGTTTGTCCTAGCTGGAGAATTTAAATGGGCAATCTTTTTAATCTTACATGAAACATATATGGCTAGATTTTTGGGTTATTGATTCTGAATGCATAATGGGTTATTGATGCTGAATCACTAGAGTCAGGGATGGTCCCAGAGGACTGGAAAATCGCTAACGTGACACCGCTGTTTAAAAAGGAAGTAAGGCAAAAGACTGAAAATTACAGGCCAACCTCGGTCACGTTTAAGATTTTGGAGTCCATTTTGAAGGATGAGATTTCTGAATACTTGGAAGTGCATGGTGAAATAGGGCGAAGTCAGCATGGCTTCATCAAGGCAAGGTCATGCCTGACAAATCTGTTCGAATTCTTTGAGGAAATAATGAGCAGGTTAGACCAAGGAGAGCCAATAGTTGTTATCTACCTGGACTTTAAGAAAGCCTTTGACAAAGTGCCGCGCAGGAGGCTGCTGAGTAAGATAAGGGCCCATGGCGTTAGAAACAAGATGCTAGCATGAATAGGAGACTGGATATCTGGCAGAAAGCATGGTGATAAACGGGTCCTTCTCAGGATGGCAGCCGGTGACAAGTGGTGTTCTACAAGGACTTCCCACAACTTTTCACTTTATAATGAACCGAGGGCATTCTGGCTAAGTTTGCAGACGATACAAAGATAGGTGGAGGGACAGGTAGTATTGAGGATGTGGGGAGGCTGCAGAAGGATTTGGGCAGGTTAGGAGAGTGGGCAAAGAAGTGACAGATGGAATACAACGTGGGAAAGTGTGAGGTCATGCACTTTGGTAAGAAGAATAGAGGTATGGACTATTTTCTAAACGGGGAGAAAATGTGGAAGTCTGAAGTGCAAAGAGACTGGAGAGTTCTAGTCCAGGATTCTCTCAAGGTAACCTTGCAGGTTGAGTCAATAGTTAGGAAGGCAAATGCAACTTTGGCATTTATTTTGAGAGGACTTGAATATAAAAGCAGGGATGTACTTCTGAGGCTCTATAAGGCTCTTGTGAGGCCACACTTGGAGTGTTGTGCGCAGTTTTGGGCCCCATATCTCAGGAAAGATGTTCTAGCCGTGGAGCGGCTTCAGAGGAGATTCATGAGAATGATCCCAGGAATGAAAAGCTTTACATATGAGGAGTGTTTGAGGTCTCTGGATCTATACTCAGTGGAGTTTAGTAGGGATGAGGGGGGATCTAATTGAAACTTACAGAATACTGAATGGCCTGGATAGAGTGGATGTTGGGAAGGTGCTTCCATTGGTAGGAGAGACTAGGACCCGAGGGCACAGCCTTCGAATAAAGGGAAGCCCTTTTAGAACACGTTTAAGGCAAAACTTCTTCAGCCAGAGAGTGGTGAATCATTGAGTATATTTAAAATAGAGATAGAAAGGTTCTTGATTGTCAAGGGGACCAAGGGTTATGGGGAGAAAGCGGGAGATTGGGGTGAGAAACTTATCAGCCATGATTAAATAGCGGAGCAGAGTCGATGGGCTGAATGGCCTAATTTCTGCTCCTATGTCTTATGATCTTAAAGTTCTTCGATGTTATATTTCCTCAAGTTTATTATTAGATTTTTAACATATTCTGTCCAATGTGTGATTGTGACTCATAGCTTCTACAGACAGGTACCATGTATCCAGGGTGACTAAGAGCTTAGTTTGTGTACTCCTATTTGTGTAAGTCTGGATATTTTACAGTAGATAATAAACAGTTGTCAAAATAATTCTCATGTTTGTTTGAAATGTGTGTTTGCTTAAAGATAATGCAGTCAACTTCAGAATAATGCTATGGTTCATACTCAGTGACTCTTCTATGTTTTTCTATTGTTTTTTTTTTTCCCCTACCCTAGGATGCTCAATGGATTGCAATGAACAGCTCGCTCAAGTGCAATAATCTTAGTGACATCTTCCTGCTTTTGAAAAGTTCTGACTTTGTCACTCATGATTTAACTCAGCCGTATGTACTTGAATTGTTAATACCTTCGGAGTATTTTCTTCAAGTTTGATTGTACCAGTCATATATTGCACTTTCTTTTCTGACATGTTTTGTTTTATTTCCCCTTGTCTCCTCTCCTAAAAGCATTACTTCTTCCATTCTGATACCTTGCCTGAACCACAGTGTTTTATATTCAAGCTTGAACTGTATGTTACATGGTAACTTAGATGCAGAAGCGTCACAATGAAGCCTGGTTCATCACTCACTTGTGTTGACTGGCTGAACTGTTAACTCAGCAGAGGTCAAAAAACATGGCAGACTTTATCTTGGTATCAATCATTGAGAAATACTGAATCTTTTGTTTTATACATTCATGGAATGTGAGCGTCACCAACCATTGCCGTCCATCTCTAGTTACATTTGAGAGATTGGTAATGAGCTACTTTCTTGAACACAACCAGATGGGTTGATAGATCATTTCAAAAGACAGTTTACACCCATCCCCATCACAAGGATCTGCAGTCACATGTGGGCCAGACCAGGTTAGGATGTCAGATTTCCTTCCCTAAAGGACATTAATTTCCAGTGGTTCCTTGGACGTCATTTTAATACAAGCTTTTTTTCCCTAGATTTATTTAATTAATTGAATTTAAGTTGCTGAGCAGACCTGATGGGTTTGATCTCATATGTCTGAATCGTTAATCTAAGCCTCTGGATGAATAGCCCAGTAATGCAACCGCTGTGGTACTGTACTCGTGGAATTCTACTCCTGAGTGTTCATTCCAAATGAGTTGGAATATTTAGTACTTTTTTTTTGTGATTAGGAGTGGTAAAATAATCCTCTTTTTAATGCATAATTATGAAAAAATGCTTGTTGTGGAGAGGATTGAGATTGTTTTGCCTTCACTATTCATCCTTCCATAATACTTTCTAGTTAGCTGAGAAAGTTGCTGCTGATTCAAGTTACTTGTTTATTTCACTTTTTTGGACCCTGCTGATATTTTGGGACATATTACTGATTTGGAAGCTAAAATAAAACTGTGACATACTGCCAAAGAAAACCCTCTGAAATCATTGCTATTATCAAACTGCACTGCCTGTAAACAAAGTTCAATCCAAGTTGCTTTTTAGAAAGACTGTCTCCTCAACTACCCTTTTACTATCAGCAAATTAATGACATATGATGGTCATCACTCAGAATAATAACTGTAGCCATGTGACTTTTTAAGCTGCTTGTTATCCAGGTAATTTCCAGACCTTATCAGAAATCTATTGAATGTTTGATTCTTTTCATCCAGATTTCTTCACTGTACTGATGACTCACCAGATCCTAAAGTAGATCCTCAAGTAAGTCAGTTTCCAGCTTCAAATCTCTTGTGTCCGTTGCATAAATGTATGGATCATTGATTCAAGTAGCTATCAAATATCAGGTTTCTTATTCCATTTTTTAAAAGTATTATTTAATGTGACTGGAGTATTTGAAAATTATATTGTTGGCCTGAATTTTGCTGTTAAAATGAATGGTAAGCCTATCAGTGCTCCTGGTTATTAAGCAGTAAAAAGGATAGCAATTCCTGGCACCTGCTCAAGGCGGACGTTAAGAATTTGTAAGTATGTGTCTCCCTGCATTTGTACTTGATACCTCTATTTATTTTGAGAGCCTTGGAATGATGAAATTTTTGCCAATGGCTCTGTCAATATGTCCTACCATCTTTTCCGTAAAACTTGTGTAGGCCTGGGTGCATATTACTGCCTGTTCCTTTCTGCCAATATCTAATATTTTTAGGTATCACAGACATGTTTGTAACATATGACAATGTGTTGATCCTTAATTGGCTGATTAGTTGTAAAAGCTACAAATTCAGGTTTTACACCAGTTCAAGTGGATACTTATGATAATTAAAACTGACTTATTAAAATTCACACAATTGGAATTAGAATAAAGTTTATTGTCGCATGCACTCAAGTGTAGGAATACATGAGTACAGTGAAAAGTGTACAAAGTCACCATTCTCTGGCTCCATCTTGGTTACAAAACCAGAATTTAAAAACAAAGAACCAAAAGGTAAGAAAATGCCCAGAAGTTCTCTTAAGACTGCAAAATTTTCTCCACTGGATTTAATTAAGTATGTTGGAATTATTGATCAACCTACTAATTGAAATCAGGAATCTAAGCTTTCTGAAGTATAGATGCTTAAAATTAAACTAAGTTTATTTTTTAAGTTGGGAAGGTATGCGGTAAATTTGCTGTCAGTTGTTTAGTTAATACCCATTATTTGATGCTCTATCATAAAAAACATTGTCATTCTCCTTCTGTCCTCTTGTTTATGATTTTTCTGGATGGGCTTGATGACAAACAGTGTTCGTTTAACAATCTTTAACTAAGTTGACACAACTCAGATCAAGATTTCTTTTCAGCTTGTTCTCAGGAAATGGTGTGAATTGATTCCTGGAGGGGAGTTCAGATGCTTTGTCAAGGAAAATAAACTGATAGGTACTGTTTTTTAAAAAAGAAACACAATTTCAGATGTTTTAGTTATATATAATTGCCAAAACAGATTTCAGTTTACTGGCTTTATTTCTGCCAGGGGTTGCACAAAGAGACCACACGCAGTATTATGATCATGTCTGTAACCAAGCAGCTAATATTCTTGGTTCCATACTGGATTTCTTCAGAAATCAAATACAGTACAAGTTTTTGGATGAAGATTGTAAGTATATTTCATTTCTTTAAAAAGAATATCAAGTTTGTAACAACTGTTTGCATAAATTGATACATGGTAGTCTACCAGCTGAACTGATTTCTGGAATCACTTAGCCCAAGATTGTTTCCTCCTGCCATCATCTATACTTTAAATGCTTCATTAATTCTTACACACCCAGAGTAAGTTTTACATATGATTTTGTTCCTATTCTAACGCACATACGGCCTATAACGCAACAACCATGCTAGACCTGTACCAATAAAATTGCAGTCAGCAACTATTATTGATCCACTGTAATCACTGAAATTCTGATGAGTGCTGAGTAAACTTCCAAGTTATTGAACAGCAATTTCTGAATCCAAGTTACATTAAACTCCTTTATAATGTGTAGAACTTCAAAGTGCTTAATAGAAATTGCATTTTGAAATACAAGAATAAAAATATCTTTATCTTGTGATTTTATCTGTATTTTTGTTTAACTAATATGTTCTTCCTGTAGTATGATTCCCATCTAATAATTGGAAATTGTAAGAAATATTATTCTATGTAATTTTTTTTTTAAAATGTGATGGTGATAAATAACTTACCTGAGTGCAATAATAGAAAGCTTACTGCCATGCAGTCAAATAGTTGCCTCCTGGTATACAAAAGAATGTGTCTTGAATGTTCTTAGGAAAGTTGGCAGTTCTCTTGGGAGGATCCAGCATTGCAGAATGGAGAGAGTAAATCTATTTAAAAATGGCGAGTGAGAACTATTTTGAGAATAACAACTTACGAACTACAGAGAATTTAGGCTCACCTACTCAATCTCCCTTCATAGATCAATCCTCTCATCCTAGGAATCAGTCAGGTATAACAAAAACAGAAATTGTTGGAGAAGCTCAGCGGGTCTGGCGGCATCTGTGAAGAAAAATCAGAGTTAATGTTTTGGGTTGAGTGACCCTTCCTCAGAACAACAGAGGTATATCTAAGTTTCAATCTCTCAGAGACAGGTAAATCTTCCCTTGGATGAAGAGACTCAGATTGTACCCAGTAATGCAGGTCGTAGAGATGTACAGCACAGAAACAGACCCTTTGGTCCAACTCGTCCTTGCTGACCAGATATCCTAAATTAACCTAGTCCCATTTGCCAATATTTGGCCCCTATCCCCTAAATCCTTCCAATTCATGTACCCATTCAGATGCCTTTTAAATGTTGTACCAGCCTCCACCGCTTCCTCTGGCAATTCATTCCATACACACACCATCCTCTGTGTGAAGAAGTTGCCCCTTAAGACCCTTTTAAATCTTTCCCCTCTCACCTTAAACCTATGCCCAATAGTTTTGGTCTCCCCTGCCCTGGGGAAAAGACCTTAACTATTCACTCTATTCATGCCCCTCATGAAGTCACCCCTCAGCCTCCGACGCTCCAGAGAAAATAGCCCTGTATTCTCATCCAGACTTCTTTACTGTGATACCTTGATTCCTTGGCAGTGAAGGCTAACATAGCATTTGCTTTTCTAATTGCATTGTGCACTTACAGGTTAACTTTCTGTAATTGGTATGGAAATGCATCCCGCTCCAGTAAATACCAATGTTCCTCAATCTGTCACCATTAAATAAATGCTACATTTTTCCATTTTACCTATCAAAGTGGATGACTTCACATTTCTGCCCATTATATTCCATCTACCAATTTCTCTCACAACCACTTGACCCATCTAAATTCCTTTCTTCCTCATAACTTTATTTCCCACCAAACTTTGTATCCCCAACAAACCTGGATACATTGCACACTTCCCATCATACAGGTATTGACTAAGTTGTAAATAGCTGAAGCCCCAGCACCGATGCTTATGGACAAGGGTCTAGGCCCGAAACGTCAGCCTCTCTGCTCCTATGATGCTGCTTGGCCTGCTGTGTTCATCCAGCCCTGCACCTTGTTGTCTCGGATTCTCCAGCATCTGCAGTTCCTACTATCTCTCTCATTATAGCCTGCCAACCCAATAATTACCCATTTATACCCACATCTTTATTTGTTTGTTAATCAATCCTTCCGGCATCCTAATATATTACCACAACTGTCATGAGCACAAATTTATTTAACACCCTCGTGTGTAATACATTGTTATGGAAATTGTTATTGAATTTCTTTTGAAAATCCAAATACAATACACTGCATCGAGTAGTTCACCTTGTAAATCTTATCAACTACATCTTCAAACATCTGTAAGAGTTCTCAAATGTGATTTGTCTTTCACAAATCAGTGTTGACTCTGCTCAGTTATATCATGATTTTCTTACAACTGTTTTATAAATTTCCTATTTATGGATAACAATAATTGTCAGGTTAATCCTACTTTGTTCTCTTGCTCTTCCTTGAAGTGTGGGGTTATGTTTGCAAACATCCAATCCGCAGGAACGTTGTAGAATTTAAGGATTTATTATGATTTTGCCTAAGTCAGCGTTCCATACTGACTAGTGAGATAGCTCACTGTCACCTTCAAAAGGACGGTTAGGGATGGGCCACAAATACTGGCCTTGCCAGCAATGGACGACACTACTTTCCAGAAGTCAAGAATGTCATCTCTTAAGTGCAGCTGTTTTAAAGGCTAAGAGATCATTGAACCAGGGCATGCAAACTGAATTCTATCCCCTTTTGAACATCGCGCATGATGTGCTAGTTGAATAGCTAAATGGGGAGCAGATTAGGTTAGAGAGACAGCATCGGTTGTACTTTTTCTGTAATGCAAGCTGAGGAGCTGGGAGTTGCAAAATTGAGTTACTGCAAGGTGAAAGAGTATAGCTTCAGTATGACTAGTGTACATAGGCAGCTCATTGAAGCATTCTGGAAGAGTGAAATCATCCATCACCATCTTGATGTCAGTGCCTCTGCACTTTGGAAAATAGCCTCAATTTGTTTGTCTAGTATTGCTGCATTCTCACAAATGCATTTTTGTTAGTTACTTGTGCATTAGAAAGCTTATCCATGACTCTACATTTCTGTTTACAGTTGTATTTGATGTATACAGAGACAGTCAGGTATGTAATCGCAATGAAATGGTAACAATAATATTTTTATTGTTCTCCGTGTTGAAAATAACATGCCTGTGATGATATTTGGTTCCTTTCCTGAGTGCCTTCCCCAAATCTGGACAAGTGCTTAAGAACTATTTGCAGGCATGCTATCTCACTTGCTCTTGCGCTCTCTCTTGCACTCTCTGTCTCTGTCTCTGTCTCTGTCTCCTCTCTTTTCCTCTCAAGCACCTCCATCGCCACCACCATCTAATGTTGTTTCAATGCTTATTATTGAAGGAAAAGAGGCTTGTTGGAGGAAGATGAAGTGAGTTGATGAGAGCCATAGAGACTGAGGTAGGCTCAAGGGCTTTGAGTGTGGAAGAGTGCAAACCCAATCTTGGGGTATTAGGGTGATCTTGGGGATGGGCTACTGAGTAGTAAAGTATCTTTCGCACAGAGAACGCTGGAGGGAAGATATCGAGGGTGTGTGATGCAGAGTGGGCATGCCGTGATGTAAAATAGAACAAGGAACTGTGGATGCTGGAGATCTGAAACAGAAATTACTGGCAAAACTCGGCAGGTCTAAAAGCATTTGTGGGAAGAAAGCAGAGTTAATGTTTCGAGTCTGGTGACTCATTCTCAGAACTGATAGATGCTAGGAAACATGGTATTTATACTGAAGCCAAAGTTGGGGTGTGGAAGGTGAGCAGAGAGATGGAGATGGACCTCAGACAGAGATAGATAAAAGGGGTAAGTAAACGAGGAGATTATGAAAGAAGAAAAGCTGAATAAGTGATAATTGGAGCTGAGAGTAGAAGAGAATGGGTGACTGTGCTAAAAGCAACCCATGTCATAAGAGGACAGAGTGTGGGATGGATTAAAAAAGAAAGCATGGAAGGATGGATTCAGCTCTAAAGTTATTGAATTCGCTGGTGAGTTCTTGAGGCTGCAGGATCTCCAAGCAGAAAATTAGATTTTGTTCTTTCAACTTACTGAGGTTCTTGGAGAAATAAATAATGCTGGAACTTGTAAAGTGGCTGCATTCATGATACCAGCTGTGCTGGGGCAACCTAACTAGAAAAGTGATTATTTAGGATTTGACATACAACATGTTTTTCTTTTGTTGATGCTCATTCATCTCCCTCACCCACTCCTGAATGCCATTGAGAGACATTTCCCCTGGCAGCATCATCCAAGTTGGGTCAGAGAATTAAGTTTCAACAGGCTGTTGTGTTGTGAGGGGCACTCCAATGCATTATCTAACTGGGACCACAGGATTGCAAACAGAGCTGAAATTCTGGCTAGTTTCCACACCCTCCCTCAGCAAAGGGGCAGCAGGTCATGTTAGTACAGCCAAATCCTGCTCTGCCTGAGGTCAGGCTGGGGAATGAACCTGGGACTTTCTACTTCATAGAAATTGAAATATTTGCACATTAGAGAATTATCAAATCTCCACCTGCCATTATTTAATATTGCCCAGAGCCTCTGAGCTGACATAGAGGCCATTCAAACAGTCTGTTTCCAAGCCTGCAGTCAGTCACCAGAAGATGATATTGAGAAGCATCAGTTGACCCAGTAAACCCCAGCTACAAAAGAAAGCAGTTGAAAATGAGTGATTAATTATGCAACTGTTGTGCTCCTCTTCCTTCTCAAAACATCTATACCTTGCTCCTCAACTTTTAAAACTTAACTCTGCAATGTCTGCAAAAATGCTAACATCCATTGCTGACGTAGGCAGATAGAGCTCCTATATTTTGCTGCCTAAAAAGTTCTTAATCTCAACTGTAAGGAGGTGTTCTCTACTGCAGGAGTAGTCACACTTCAGTGTTAATGGACCATGTGGGTGTAGACTATGATTTATGGACAGCTAGTTAAAATTGTGTTCTTGTTAGTATATCGAGTTGCTGGTTCTAACTGACATTTGGAACAACAAAATTTTTTAAACCTTTCAAGTCCATAAAATTCAAACGGAAAACTATCCTCATGTTGTTATGAAGACACTATTAACTATTGAAAATAAATTTGTATTTCCAGTGACAAGATTTCACATTCAAGGAGTTTACAGTAACAAACACCATAAAAGCAACGTCACCTAAACATTATTTAGTAGGCAACCTGTACAGCAAATTACACAAAAGATATCCCCTTAATTTCCTAACACCAGCAACAATCCCACACAGCATTAATACAATACACTACAGCCTGAAGATTTGTAATCTTTATAGGAATAAGTAGAATGTTACTCCCAGCTTCCAACTGGATGCTTCTCCCTGTTTTTTCCTGAGTCACAACATTCTGTGTCTGTCGGAAGTTGTATTCCTCAGTATTATGAGAATCTCCAAATCAACTTTAGACAGCACAGTCACTCCAGTGACTACCCCTCCTGGCCCAGCCAGGTTCTGTCTCTTCGACAGAGATCACACTCCCACCTGCATTCTACCTGGTGGCTCACAAAGACTACTCTCTTCCTCAATTGTTCTCAGCAGCTGCTGTTTCCATTTTCCCTCCGTGTCCCCCTCTCTTGCTATGAAACTTGCTGTCTCTCGCTGTCTGACCAGGGTGTCTGAATCAGTAAATCTGAGTGTGTGTAAATCTGCCCACAGCAAAGCCAGCTCTTCCTTTCTTTTATATCCATGTGAGAGTTGGCATTTGGATTTCAGTTGGACTCAACTTGCGCCCCCAGTCCCCATGGTAACTGGACTGCATGAGATTATTGCCAGGCAGAACTCTAGAAGGTCACATGCTCCATTTTGCCTTGAATTAAGAGAGGACAGCTTATGAATCCTAATGCCTGGACAAATATTGTTGAGTTAGTAGAGTTTTAAAGGCCGTATTGTAAGTATTCAGGACTGTGGGACTCTAGAGCTGCAGGTTGGACACTGTTGACTCACTGTGCAAGCCTGAATTTCATGGTGGTTCTCGAACTAAGTTATGTGGTAGTTTATTTTGGACCTATGCCCAGCACTAGCCACACCGAGTGTTCACATTCACTAGTGAAGGTCTGAAAGTCAGAGAAACATAGAAACTAGGCCCTTTGAGCCTGCTGCACCATTCAGTATGATTGTGTGTCTGATCCTCTGTCAATGCCATATTCCTGCTTTCTCTCCATACCCCTTGATTTCTTCAGCCCATATTTCTGGAATAAAGTTTCAGCTCATTTGCTTTGCCATTAATTTATGCTTCTATTTCAACTTACCTCAAAAGTATGTTTTACATCATTCTTTCCTCAAAGGTAATTTTTGTTAGTGGAAAATTAACATTTTAAAACCTTTTCTACAATCTATTTTGTAGGGCAAGGTGTGGCTGATCGATTTTAACCCATTTGGAGAAGTGACTGACTCTCTGCTTTTCAGTTGGGAAGAGTTGACATCTGGACAGACCATCAGTAAAGGGGACCTTAAGGATCCAGTAAGAGTTCTGAGCAATTTAGTGGAATTTATTCATTGATTTAGTACATTTTTGTGAGATTCGCCTATTAACAACTGCAGGTTACACTGATCAATGTAATTGCGGCTCTTTGTTCCCTAGCTCTAACCAAATAACCTTGCACTTCGTTCCCTTGGCCGTTTAATTTCTCCTGCCTTGCACCCTCTCATTCCTCATTCCTTCTGTTCTTTTTTTCACACCAAGCTGAGCTTCTAGACTCCATTACCAAGGCAACCTACTTCTACATCTGCATCATTAACTCATCTGTGCCTTTGTTTCATCTCATTTGCCACTGAAACCTTTATTTGTGCCTTTGCTACCTCTGGACTCAACTATTCCAATGCTCTCCTCAGTAACTGCACACCTTGCACTTTCTGTAAGCTTCAACTCATCTAAAAGTCCACCACCTGCCCAGGACTGCCTTGTTTTTTTTTTCAAAATAGTCTCCTTGTATTTTAAATTCTTTCAATGCCTCACTCCTGCCAATTTCTGTAACTTCTTCCAGATCTACAACCTTCAGATCCCTGGGTCTTCCCAAATATACATTCTTATATGTCCCTGATTTTTATCACATTGGCAGTTGTCTTCTGCCTCCTAAAGCCTATAGTTTCCTCTAATTTGCTTTTAATTGCATCATATTATCATAACCTCTTTGACCAAGGTTTTGGTTGTTTTGTTTCAATATTTATTTATACGACTCAGTATTGGGTTTTTCATTTGATAACGTTCCTGAGAAATACCTTGGGCCTGTTTTGTTATGTTAAATACAAGTTCCTGTTTTGTTTTCTATGTTCAGGATAGCAATAAATGGAGAATTCCAGACATTTGCCACAGAAACGACGTAGAAAAGGGCAGTGTGTCCAAGTCAATATGATGTGTGATGTGGAGGGGAACCTTTGCTGGTGACCCCGTCAGTTCACGGCTCTTTTCAATCTTTGTTAAAGCAGCCCTATGGGCAGTCAGTTCTCATTCTGCCTAGAATGTGAAGGCAACTCAGTAGATCAATTGACCCAAAATCAGAATTACGCAGCACAGAACAGATCCTTCGGTCCAACTCGTCCTTGCCGACCAGATATCCTAAATTAATCTAGTCCCATTTGCCAGCATTTGGCCCATATCCCTTTAAACCCTTCCTATTTTTGTACCACTCTGGATGCCTTTTAAATGTTTGTATTGTACCAGCATCCACCACCACCTCTGGCAGCTCATTCTATACATGCACCACCCTCTGCGTGAAAAAGTTGCCCCTTCGGTCCCTTTTAAATGTTTCCTCTCTCACCTTAAACCAATGCCGTCTAGTTTAGGACTCCCCGACCCTGGGGAGATGACCTTGACTGTTCATCCTCTCCATGCCCCTCATGATTTTATAAACCTCTATAAGGTCACCCCTCAGCCTCCAATGCTCCAGGGATAATAGCCTCAGCCCATTGATTGAACTGATTGTTTTGTATAACATTTCTCTCAACAACTGGACATCTCAAAGTTCTCCCCACCAAATGCCATACTTGTGAACTATTGCCACTATTGTAAGTGGGAAATATGGCAGCCAATTTTGTGCACAACAACTCCTACAAACTGCAATGTGATAACGATCAGTTAATCTGTTTTTGTTGTTAATTGAGGGCCAGAACAATAGGGATAACTGTCCTGAGACAACAAGGTGCAGAGCTGGATGAACACAGCAGGCCAAGCAGCATCGTAGGAGCAGGAAGGCTGACATTTCGGGCCTAGACCCTTCATCAGAAATGGGGGAGCGGAAGGGGGTTCTGAAATAAATAGGGAGAGAGGCGGAGGCGGAGGCGGATAGAAGATGGATAGAGGAGAAGATAGGTGGAGAGGAAACAGACAGGTCAAAGAGGCGGGGATGGAGCCAGTAAAGGTGAATGTAGGTGGGGAGGGAGGACAGACAGGTCAAGGGGGTGGGATGAGGTTAGTCGGTAGGAGATGGGGGTGCGGCTTGAGGTGGGAGGAGGGGATAGGTGGGAGGAAGAACAGGTTAGGGAGGTGGGGACGAGCTGGGCTGGTTTTGGGATGCGGTAGTGGGAGGGGAGATTTTGAAGCTTGTGAAATCCACATTGATACCATTGGGCAGCAGGGTTCCCAAGCGGAATATGAGTTGCTGTTCCTGCAACCTTCGGGTGGCATCGTGGCACTGCAGGAGGCCCAGGATGGACATGTCGTCTGAGGAATGGGAGGGGGAGTTGAAATGGTTCGCGACTGGGAGGTGCAGTTGTTTATTGCGAACCGAGCGTAGGTGTTCTGCAAAGCGGTCCCCAAGCCTCCGCTTGGTTTCCCCGATGTAGAGGAGGCCACAACGGGTACAGCGGATGCAGTGTACCACACTAGCAGATGTGCAGGTGAGCATCTGCTTGATGTGTAAAGTCTTCTTGGGGCCTGGGATGGGCGTGAGGAGGGAGGTGTAGGGGCAGGTGTAACGCTTCCTGCAGTTGCAGGGAACAGTGCCGGGTGTGGAGGGGCTGGAGCGGACAAGGGAGTCACGGAGAGAGTGGTCCCTCCGGAAAGCAGGTAAGGGTGGGGAGGGAAGAATGTCTTTGGTGGTGGGGTCGGATTGTGGATGGCGGAAGTGTTGGAAGATGATGCGTTGGATCTGGAGGTTGGTGGGATGGTACGTGAGGATGAGGGGGATTCTTTTTTGGTTGTTATTGCGGGGACGGGGTGTGAGGGATGAGTTGCGGGAAATGAGGGAGACACGGTCGAGGGCGTTCTCGACCACCGAGGGGGGTAAGTTGTGGTCCTTGAAGAACAAGGACACCTGAGATGTACGGGAGTGGAATGCCTCATCCTGGGAGCAGATGCGGCGGAGGCAAAGGAATTGGAAATAGGGGATGGCATTTTTGCAGGAAGGTGGGTGGGAGGAGATGTATTCTAGGTAGCTGTGGGAGTCGGTGGGCTTGAAACGGATATCGGTTTCTAGGTGGTTGCCCTTGACCTGTCCGTCCTCCCTGGACTGACCTATCTCCTCCCTACCTCCCCACCTACACTCACCTTTACTGGCTCCATCCCCGCCTCTTTGACCTGTCTGTTTCCTCTCCACCTATCTTCTCCTCTATCCATCTTCTATGCGCCTCCCCCTCTCTCCCTATTTATTTCAGAACCCCCTTCCCCTCCCCCATTTCTGATGAAGGGTCTCGGCCCGAAACGCCAGCTTTCCTGCTCCTACGATGCTGCTTGGCCTGCTGTGTTCATCCAGCTCTGCACCTTGTTGTCTCAGATTCTTCAGCATCTGCAGTTCCTACTATCTGGGATAACTGCCCTGCTCTTTTTCAATAAATAGCATAATAAATCATTTACATCAACCCAAGCAGGGCCAGATTGGGACTTTGGTGGAGCATCTCACCTGTATGGTGGCACCTCCTGCAGTGAAGGGCTCCCATTGAACTGCATGGAGTGTCAGCCTTAACATTTATGCTGAAGCCCTGGAGTGGGACTTGAACTTGGAATCTTGTGACTCAGGCAAAAGAGTGCAGCCACTGAACCACAGCTAATTGTGTTTGGAGGGAATTGGTTCAAATTAAAATTGAAACTGAATCAAAATGCACATAACAATTATGATTCTTCCTCATCCTTCCTACCATTTTGTTAACTTCACTGGAATATTTTTACAATCAAGGTGCAATATTTTAACACATTTTGCTTTCCAAGTAGTTGTGTGTTCTGTTGTGTATCATTGAGCTCCAGCCGATAACCTAATTACTAAACAAGACTTTGGTTAGTTGATTTCATCTTTTAGCTGCTGAGCGTTTTTTGTTTTTGCCTATGTTTTGTGAATAAATTATTTTGAATAAAAGCAAAATACTGCGGATGCTGGAAATCTGAAACAAACAGGGAGCATGCTGGAGAAACTCGGATCTAGCAGTATCTGTGGAGAGAGAAACAGTTAACATTTCATGTTCAGTCTGACTCTACTTTGAAGAACATTTAACGCAGCTTTTCTCTCCACAGATACTGCCAGACTTGCTGAGTTTCTTCAGAAATTCTTTTGGGCTAGTTTGTTTTTTTTCCTGCACGCTGCATTTATCTATGGTTCCTGATTTGATTTGGTGGTTTACTATCATTCCTAGGACTCACCAGCCTTTCGCTATATCACAAGTGAAATGACTGTACAGCCCAGTCCCTATTTAAGTTATCGGCTGCCAAAAGATTTTGTGGATCTGTCACGAGGGGAAGATGCACACAAACTAATTGATTTTCTTAAACTGGTAAGCTAAATTTAGAACTGTTTGACTGATTCTTTTATAACTGAACTAAACTATAATATATAAAAAGTAAGTTACAAGAAAAACTAGATTCTAATTTAACTCTTGCGGTCAGAATAAAATATTATTTGATTTCTTCCGCAAAATGAATGGGCCAGGATATTGGCAGGTTGTCACTTTAGTGGTAAAAGGTAAATATCCTCAAGTCAAAAGATATGAATTTATATTTCAGCTCTGTGCATGATTTTTGAACATGATTTTGTTAGTCCTATGTAAGGCTGCTAGTTGCAGCAATACCTTGCACCAGATTATACCTTCAGGGGAATAGTTAGAGCATTTGGTTTGGGCTGCGGAAATTCCAAAGCGAACACGGTGACGTTAGGGGGAAATGAGGCAATATTGTTGATGCAAATCATTCCACTCTCTTGGGCCAAAGGAACAACAATGTAGACTAGTGAAGGAAGTTAGTAAATTGAGAAGAGAAAAGATGTAAAATTAGCAACTGTTTGTTGACAAGACTTATTCATTTAGAATTCTGTTTATTTAACACTTGATTTTGCACAGTGGACTCCATAAGCTACCAACTTGTAACAGCTGTCGATAAATTCACTGTGTGCAAACTATCATTTGATCAGAAAATCTGGCATTAGTATGCGGGAAGTTCAGAGTAGACACAGAATAGAAGCTATACTGATTTGAGAGGTGCATGAACAACATGAAGTCTCAGAAAAGGCATAGTTAAATGCTTCCTTTTAATGCAAACTAAGGACAGTGACAATTTGCTATTTTTAATGATATCAATTTACACTGATTTCCAGTTTGACAAAGTTTATTTAAATACTTACTTTAAAATTACTTCAGCAAAATGCTTCCAGGTGGAAATCTAGTTAAAGTTTGGAATTGTCTTTATTCCTTTACTGTTTCAGAGTTTGTGACAGTGCAATGATCACTTGAAGTCCTTTTTCCTCAATAAACCTCATTAGATTCTCTGTGTCAGTCTGTTGGGTGGTGGAAAATGTCAAAGGCTGAAAGATTTGAAGTGATTCTTCACAATTTTCCTTTAAATATTATTGAAAAATCTGTGATTGAGGACCAAGTACAGATACTGGAATAAGCTTTTCATTAAAAGCAGTTAAATTGCTAACTCCTCTCTAGCTTGTTAACAAAAAGTCACAAAACAAGATAAAATGCAGTATTTTGTGAAGGAGAATGACATAGCTCCAGTTTGAATCTTTTGTTTCTAATCATACAGGAAGTGAAGGGGAAGGGGGTGGGCCATGTATCTTTCTACATTTTCTTTTATCGGGATCAGATTTGACCAGAGAATTCTGGACTGACAGAACCATCACGGAAACACATCCAGTGTAGTTCCCTGCAGCAAAGTATTGCTCTTGCTTTGAGATGCAGAAGAAAAACAAAATGTACTGGAGTCCCACCTAATCATAAGACAATGAATCATACTGTGTGCCTGCTATTCCATCAGAATTAATTGGCTGATTCCATGAAAATGTAATCTAGCCTTTTAGGTTTAAAAACACCCTGCAATTTAATGAGCATGATTAACTCTTTTGCTTATAGTGCCCACTCCGAGAGATTTTACTTCATGGAGACTCTAGAAGTTGAAGTTGAAGCTAAAGCTAAATGCTAGTCCAACCAGTAGAAAAGGAGGAGGAATACCAACAAGTTATCTGTGGCCTACTGGACAAATCTCTAGGCAGTAGCTTTAAAAAGTCACTTATGACTTGGTGGCATGTTTATCTTCACTCTGGAGGTTAATATTTTGGAGAGACCTAATAGAGAGGGAAGAAAAATACAATGTGTAAAAAGAAATCTTATTTACAGTTACAATTCTTATCTTCTTCTCCACCATTAGACAAGAAGTCAAGAACCAGAAAGTTCAGATGAAGAGGGATAAGATGTTTTACAGCAACAATCTTCACAGGATAAATGCAAAGCAAATGAAAGACTTGATGTGGACTTCATTTGAGTTTCTCGGTATATATTGACTGAGAAAATTTGAAAAGTTGCCTGGTTTCATCTAGTAAAAGAGACTGATGTAACATTATTGTAAAAATTAAGAAATAAATTGAACAAACTGTAGAATAACTCTAAATGATAACCATGTGTTATTGAATAAGTCTGCATATCTATAATAAATTTCTGTAAAATAAAATTTTATAAATTTGAATGAATTCAGTTGTGTTTGAAGTTGTAATAAATTGGTGCACTTGACATTTGCTAAATAGACCTAGAAAAATATGTGGAATGCAGCAAAATTTTCCATGTGGTAGTTTATTGTGTAAGCAAAGGAAAGTCAGTTCAGAACAATGTTTGCTGCATTTCAAAATGTGATTCATTGTATAAAATGCTTTATGTAATTTGCACAGAATGCACTAAGTAGATTCTGCTATTACAGCCTGTGGAATTGGGAATTACAAAACTGCGTCTTTCAAAAAAATGCATGAATGTGTATTTGTGCCCATTTGTGACATTTATAAACTGCTAACATTTTCAGATACAAAGGTATTCTGCACTTTGAAATAATTTATTTAATATTGACATTAGTAGTAGGAAATATAGATGTAATGCATACCTTTCAAAATATTTTGCAATAGCTTAAAGAATGATGCCATAAGATAATAAATAACAGGGGGAAGAGGATACTTGGAGAATTCTGTAAGTCCCCTAACAGTAGCTGTACAGTAGTTCAGAATAAAAGGAGAGTTAATGAGGGCATGAAAAAACACAGTACGTTAATGGGAGACTTTTTAATTTTCATGTTGATCGGGGAAGTCAGATTGGCAAAGGGAGCCATGAGAAATAATTCAGACAATGTACTTGGGATAGTCCCTAGAACAATATACAAAAACAGAAGTTGCTGGAAAAGCTCAGCAGGTCTGGCAGCGTCTGTGAAGAAGAAAAAAAAAATCAGAGTTAACGTTTCAGGTCCAGTGACCCGCTGAGGAAGGGTCATATGACCCAAAACGTTAACTCTGATTTTTTTTTTTCTTCACAGATGCAGCCAGACCTGCTGAGCTTTTCCAGCAACTTCTGTTTTTGTTCCTGATTTACACTATCCGCAGTTCTTTCGGTTTTCCCTGGAACAACATGTTTTGGATATGACCGAGATCAGGCTATTTTGGATCTGGTGATGTGTATTGAGGTAATTTTAAAAATGATCACAACGAGAAAAAGTCCCTTAGAAATCAACGGCCTTAACATGGTGGAATTTTGTATTCAATTTGAGAGGGAGAAACTTTGGATATAAAGAAGGATTTTAGGGAGGGTATAAGCTAGTAATAGTTAACCGGGAAGTTAGGGGTAGCATCAAATGAAAGAAAAACACATACAGTGTGGTAAGGATTAATGGCAAGGGGAAATCATATCTGCCAAATTTTCTATACTTTTTTGAGTAGTTAAGAAGTTGGATGGATGTAGTGTATTTGGATTTCGGGAAGGTGTTTGATAAGGTGCCACACTTAAGGCAACTTAGCAAGGTAAGAGCCTGTCCCCCTGGAGGCAGTATATTAGCATGGATGAGGGTTGGCTAAATAATAAATAAAAACAGTTGGGATAAGGGGGACATTTTCAGGATGACAATCTGTAACTAGGCTATTTTTCCCTGGAGCGTCAGAGGCTGAAGGTGACCTTTATAGTCGTTTATAAAATCATGAGGGGCATGGATAGGGTGAATAGCCAAGGTCTTTTCTCCAGGATAGGGGAGTCCAAAACTAGAGGGCATAAATTTAAACCAAGAGGGGAAAGATTTAAAAGCAATCTAAGGAGTAACCTTTTCTTGCAAAGGGTGTTGCCTGTGTGGAATGAACTGCCAGAAGAAGTGGTGAAGGCTGGTACAATTACAACATTTAAAAGGCGTCTGGATGGGTACATGAATAGGAAGGGTTTAGAGGGATATGGGCCAAATGCTGGCAAATGGGACTTGATTAAGTTAGGATATCTGGTCGGCATGGACAAATTGGACCAAAAGGTCTGTTTCCATGCTCTACATCTCAATGACTAATGGAATGCTACAAAAATCAGCGTTGAGGTCACAATTATTTGCAATATATTTAATGACTTGGATGTGAATGTACCACAGCCAAGTTTGTGCATGACAAAAATAAATGGGAAGGCAAGATGAGGATTGCGCAAAGAGTCTGCAGTTGGATAGAGTTAAGTGTTAAGTGAGTGGTCAAATTTTAGGAAATATTTTGTGGGAAAATGTGAGTTTATGTGTTTGGAAGAAAACAGAAGCTGAATATTATTTAAATAGAGAAAGGCTGCAGAAAGCTACAGCAAAAAGATTTGGGTGTCATCGTGCAGAAATCACATGAAGCTAGCATCTAAGTTCAGCAAGTAATTGGGAAGGCAAATGGAATGTTGCCCACTATTTCAAAGGGAATGGAGTATAAAAATAGGGATGTGCTGCCAAAGTTATAAAAGGCACTTGTGAGAACACAGCTGGAATTTTGCGAACAGTTTTGTGTCTCTTGTTAAAGGAAATACATCCTGTCACTGGGTGCAATCCAGAGAAGGTTCTGTAGATTGATGCTGGATATGGGGTCTTTCATGAGGAAAAGCTGTCTAGTTTGGGCCTGTGGTCATCAGAGTTTGAAAGAATGAGAGGTGACCTTATTGAAACATTAAGGATTCTTAAGGGACTTGACAAGGTAGATGTGGATAAGTTGTTTCCCCTTGTGGGAGCATTTAGGACCAGAGGGCATGATTTCTGAGTAGGAGGTCACCTAATTAGAACAGAATGAGGAAGAATTTCTTCTCTCAGAACGTAGGGAATCTGTTGAGTTCTTTAAAAGAAAAGGCTGTAAAGGCAGGGTCATTAAGTATTTCAAGGCTCAGTTAGATTTTTAAACAATAAGAGGAATTGAGGAATATAGGGGAAAAGGCAGGAAAGTGGAGTTGATTGTCGGCTCAGCCAAGATCTCATTGAATGGCAGAGCAGACTTAATGGTCTACCCCTGCTCCAACATCTTATTGATGATGCTGAGATGGTTAAACGTTCTGCAATTTTACTGGATATCCTTTATGGATTAAAAATATTTATGAAGAGATTCCAGCTAGTCATTTGGGTAAGTAAGATGGAGCCTGTAATGCGTTACATCTTGTGTCAAGATGATGCTTAAGCATCTAAATATCGTCTTTCTTATCCTGTGCTGGTTAATCTATGGGGAGGCAATGGCCTAGTGGTATTATCGCTGAACTATTAATCCAGAGACCCAGATAACGCATTGGGGACCCAGATTTGAATCCATGGCAGATGATGGAATTTGAATTCAATAAAATATCCGGAATTAAGAATCTAATGATGACCTTGAATCCATTGCTGATTGTTGGGAAAAATGCATCTGGTTCACTAATGTCTTTTTGGGAAGGAAACTGCCTTCCTTACCTGGTCTGGCCGAGATGTGACTCCAGACCACAGCAATGTGGTTGACTCTTAACTGCCCTCTGGGCAATTAGGGATGGGCAATAAATGCTGCCTAGCCAGCGACACCCTCATCCCGTGAATGAATAAAGAAAAAAAATCCCCTTAGACAGTGTCTGAAATGTACTTAAATAAAAGCAAAATCCAGTAGGTAATGGAAATCGGAATAAAAATACAGAGCAAATACTGGAGAAACTCAGCAGACGTCGCAACTTCTATAGAGAGAAAAACAATATTAACATTTCAAGTCTGGCATGATTTCCTCAGAACTGAAAACGTCATATCTTACTCGAAATGTTAGTTCTGTTTCTCTTTCCACAGATGCTGCCAAACCTATTGTATTTCTCCAACATTTTCTGTGTTTTTTTTTCTGAAATATACATGTATTCATTTTAAAGTTAGAACACAATTTAATTTAAACCTCACGTTAATCTATAGATTTGTTTTATTTACTGCTGTGATTATAACCTGAGTCTCCCTACTAACGTTTCGACCTATCCTCAGATATTCCCACAATTTTAAATGAATGTCTTCCATAGGCAATATTTGAATTAGAATGTTTGATGACCACAATTAAACTACCTCATACAGGTTTTCAATTTTATATTCCTGTTTGTACTTGAAATTATTCACGTTTGTGTCAGATGTATTTTATAGACTAAGGCACATGACCCAACTATTACATTCAGGTTTAAAAAGTAGAATGACACCTGTAGTGATTGTAAAGAGGTCAGCCAGGTGGATCTCATAGAATATGAATTCCCTGATTGGGGCTGTTAACACGGTCCAATCAGGGAGCCCGGACTGACACACATAAACAGGAGTACCAGGGTTCTGCTCATTCTAGGAGCTGGTTCTGAACTATCTGAGTCAGTGTCATGTGCTATGCACGTGCAAATAAAGGGTAGTTTGGTCATGGGATACCAGCCTTCATTGAGTTACTTCAACAGAAACGGATTTGAACTATGTTATTGCATTGTGTCAATAAAGCTAGGAAGAGCAAGGATTGTTTGTCCCTGAAGGGATTTCCTTATTCTTCTAGAATTGATTGCAAAATTAACAATTGTAAAATAAAATTCTCATAACCTTTTTCTCCAAAATGCATCCGCAGAATTTTTAAAATATTTGTTCATGGGATCTGAGTGTTGCTGGCTAGGTCTTGTGCCTGTTACCCTCCTTCAAGGTGGTAGAGATCATGGATTTGGATGGTGCAACTGAAGAAGGAATGACGAGTCGCATTTTGGAGATTCTGCACTGCTTCCTGTGTGTGTCGGTGGTGGAGGGAGTGAATGTTATTGGATCGAGTGCCAATCAACCAGTGCATTCAAATAGATTGTTTAAAATGTTGGTTCGGCACCTGCCATAAAAGATTGCTATCAAAAATAATTCCTGTCATATCTGTTTACTAAAATATTGAAATTACTATGATCTGTAACTTGAAATGTGGCATATTTTTGACAACCATTTAAACCAAATGGAGTATTACTAATTATTTTCTTGTGTTAATCTTATTTATTTGTTCTTCATCTTTGTGTCAGATATATTTTATAGACTAAGAATCATAACCCTTTTTTTCACGGCTACATTTTGATTTGTAGATATTTTAAGATAAATAATGCAAACGAAATCATTAAATGGTTGTATAAAACACATCAGTCCACTCTAGCTAATGGCTGGTTTTGTTGTAATTTATTGGGAACTTCTAGAAGTTGTGATGGCTTAATTTACTCTGAATTGCTTATCTC